GTTTGGCTTGGTTTTAAAGAGTAATGAAGTTGTATAGAATAGTTTTCTAGTAAAGTCCATTCTATTTTCAAGAAATTCAAATCACATAAACACAATAAATAATAATGAATTGATAAACAACAGCTGTTAAGCTGGTTTTCCTAGGCGCGGAAGCGGAGAGCGGAGAAGCGATTAACATGGCATTCCGCTCCGCTTCTAGGAAAACAGTTACATCAAATTGCCTAAGACAAGTGGAGTCCGCTCTCCGCGTTCCTCTCTCGGCTCTCCACTTCCGCGCCTAGGAAAACCCAGCTTTATTTCACATGCCCTTTTTTTTGGGAACAAAAGTCTTTGTATTTTGTTGGAGGTTTGGTAAGCCTTTACTGCTGTACTTGCATACTTTCATGTTCTGTTTTCTTGCTGTCTTGAAAATTATATTGAAGTCGTGGAGATAACAAATTGTATCAAATCCTTAATTTATATAAAACAAGATACAAGAGAATGTACAACCCAATTTTATTCAACCATCTATATCTATCTATACTTATTTAATACGCAAGCAGATTTTTACAATTACTCCTCCGAAACTACTGAACCGATTGACATGTTTTTGGTGTCATTGGAAAGAGCGTAACGTGAAGTTGTGCAGGAAACTTTTTTATAGGGAAATAATTAGAGAGTGAGTCCCTGGGGCCCTTTAAAGATTCGTATTTCTCCATAAGATTAACATGGGAAACAAACATTGTTATGAAACTCCAGCTGTTGTCAGAAATGCTGTTCTGATATTTAATTTAATTTGTTTACAAGGAGAATTGTTTCTTGGTGCCATGTGGTCAATGAGTTATACTTTTGCATATATTTTAAATGATATATCTATATGAGGAAGTTTGTATATATATTTGAACGTTATGGACTCCGAAACCGCTCGACAGTTTGTAATGAAACTTTCAGGCATTATTAAGCATCAAGAATGGTTTGTGTGAAGTTTGGTGCAGATCCGTCAAAAGGGCTCCGCCACAGTGGCTCTGGAGTTTACCATGTTAACCTTATAAGTACTTATATTTAAATGGAATGAAAGAAGCTTAACAGCTGGTTCAACTAAACAATTTGATTCTGTGATGTTCAATAGCATTAAAAAGTTAATAGGTTTACCAACAGAGCGCAGCAATATTATTTTTTTTTTTATTTATGACAACAGCTAATTTGCAACCAAAAAGTGAGTGAGCGTGGCGAGCGAACTTCAAACTGGAGGCGAGTTAGCGTAGCGAACAAACCAGGACGTGATTGAGCGATGCGAACGAGCTCATCTTGAAAATGAACGAGCATTTCACATAAAACCACATTAAGACAGGATGACGTCTGTCGGGCCAGTTAGTACACTATATATTTTATAAAACGATGGTACTATAATACATTAAGAGATATTCATTTAAATAATAAATGAGTACGATTGAGCCTTTGCCTATACGTTTCCTGGTAAGTGTGTTGTAACTGTTCCTTATAGTATATTATAGTATCTTAAAGTAAAACTAAACTATTCCTTTCTGCATTCTCACCCCGTAGCGAAGCATGGGCAGGTCAACTATATAGTACTTATTTAATACGCAAGCAGATTTTTTGTGACAATTACTCCTCCGAAACTACTAAACCGATTGACATGTTTTTGATGTCATTGGAAAGAGCGTAACGTGAAGTGAAGTTGTGCAGGAAGCTTTTTTTTGGGAAATAGTTAAGAGAGTGAGGCCCTGGGGCCCTTTAAAGTTTTGTATTTCTCCATAAGATTAACATGGGAAACAAACATTGTTATGAAACTCCAGCTGTTGTCAAAAATTAAAAGTGAGAAGAAGAACATATGTTAAGTGTAAACAGTCAATAAGTTTGTTAATTAAAAACAGTTTGCTACAAACATTTACTGACTTGGTTAAAATGAAATATTTACTATTTGAATTTTGGTTAGCTTAAATATTACAATGGAAAAAAGTGAGAGAGCCTGGATAAATTGATATACTAAATACCCCCGCCGCAGCAAACCTGCCGACTAAGCGAATTTCCATTTGTCTGAATTGATTTTCAGTTAAATATATTTTAATAACATTAGGTTTAACGAGTACCTAGGTTTGCTGTTACAAGGAAACTAATAAAGTGTGTTTTTGAGTAAAATATTGATAGCTTAGTACGCCTGTAATACTTATCAATTGCTCGAATTCGAGCAACAGGTAAACTAGTTTTAACTGAATTAAAAACATAAACACAAACATAAACATTAAACAATAATAACATAAATCATGTGGTGTTAAGAAATCATATGTTGATGACAACTCCTTATTAATCCTCCCCCTCAAATTTACACGCTGAATGTGGTTAATGTGCTTTCTCCAAACCTGCCCATTATCCATCTCGATTTAATAATGCATCAATCCCTCTCTCCTTCTTACGTTTCCAAATTTCCACTTTCCGTCTTTTCCGAAATTGCGCACCTGAACTCTGTCCCCCACCAGAAACTCTCTTTTGATTTTAGTACATCTGTCGGGCATTTCTATGTGATCTTGGGGTTTCTTCATAAGGTCCAGCCTTGTCCTTATTCGTCTCCCAAACATAAGTTCATAAAGCTATAAGGTCATCATAATCTTTCTGAAGAGGCGTTTCAGGTGCACAAATGTTGTAGAGCTTTTGATGTAACGTAGGAAATAGGGCATTAAGTAGGGTGAATGTCTTCGTAGTTTCGTCTGATATGTGTTTCAGGTGCATACATACTTCAAGTCTTTTTGTAAAATTGTCAAAAGATTCATCTTCACAGAAAGGTACAAATGAAATATGGTATGTTGAAGCTGTATTGCCGGTAGAGTTGCTTGCATTACCATTAATTTCTTGAGTTGTAATGGAATGTGAAATAGGTTTCAACTGCCTCAACGTTGATATTGAGGTTGAAGATTATCTTCAACTTAATGAATACTTCTTCACTGACCATCTTGTAATTTACTTCTTCATCCAGTTCTGTGTCGTTGTCGTTTATTATGAGTTCTATTTTCTCTTGTACTTCAAGAAATTTAGTCCATGTTGAGTCCAGAAGTTCTACGTTCATCAACTTGCCTAGGATCAATTTTGTAATTGTTCAGCTTGTTTGTTAACTTGGTCAATTGTGCCTTGATTGATGTTCTAATCCTTTTGTAACTGTTTAAACTTGATGTAATGTCAGTTGACTCCATTTTTGGGTTTCCTTTTTGCCAGGTATCAAGTCCTTAATTTATATAAAACAAGATACAAGAGAATGTACAACCCAATTGTATTCAACCATTTTAACTGAATGATAAATATATAAACACAAACATAAACATTAAAAAACAAAACATAAATCATGTGGTGTTAAGAAATCATATGTTGATAACAACTATTTTTTAAATTGGATATAGGTAGGCTTCCACCTTCTCAGCCTTCTCTGCCGTTGAGGACTTCACCGTACCCTGGCAAGGGACCCTATGCTACCATCCGGGTCAGATGGACCCTGGTTTTTTAACGAGGTTGTTACTCCTCCGACTCCTCCTTCCTAACACTTGCTAGCCAGGCCCCGGGCTTGTCACTGGCGTAGCGGAGATCTGGATTTTGCAGACGATCTATGCATCATGGCCCAAAGTTTCAGAGATATTGAAACTAAGCTGAACGATTTAAAAGTGGAAGCGCAACAGGTGGGCTTAAAGATAAATGCCAGGAAAACCAAGGAAATGAGGTTGAATAACCGGAACAACACCCCCCTTAGAACTGGAGAGGAAGAGGTAGAGAGAACCAATGAGTTCTGCTATCTGGGTAGCTTGGTGGCCAGGGATGGAGGAACTGACCAGGACATAACAAACAGGCTTAACAAAGCAAAGGCGGCATTCGCCCAGCTGAGACCAGTTTGGAGGAGCTCCGAGATTAGAAGGAAAACAAAGCTCCGAATCTTCAACTCGAATGTCAAATCTGTCCATCTCTATGGTTGTGAGACGTGGAAAAAAACAGCTGTTGCCACAAGAAAACTCCAAACCTTCCTCAACAAAATAATGCCTTAGAACCATACTAAACATATGGTGGCCCAATTTAATTTCCAATGAAGATGTGTGGGCTAGAACCCAGCAAGAGCCTATTATAAGGCAGCTGAAAAGAAGAAAGTGGAGGTGGATCGGGCATATCCTACGACAATTTCAGGATACAGTGGCGAGACAGGCCTTGGACTGGAACCCCCAAGGAAGCAGAAGACGAGGGAGACCAAGAACCACTTGGAGACGGACGGTGGAGAGAGAGTTGGAGGGACAAGGCATGACATGGGCTAGAGCAAAGGAACTGGCAAACCATAGAGACCGCTGGAGAGTGTTCGTCGAGGCCCTATGCTCCCCCTAGGAGCTCAAGGAAATAAGTCAAGTAAGTAATTAAGTCATAGGTAGGCTTCTGAAGAAGGCTAATGAGAGGTTTATGATCAGTCTCTATCACAAATTTCGTTCCATATATATAAGTAATAGTGGAATTTTTTACATCCATTTAAAACAGCTAGAAATTTCTTTTCGATTTGGCTATTTGTTGAGTAGTAGCATAGACTAACCGACACAAGTAGACTTCTCATCCCATTGTAAATTTTGAAGCACGTTTTTCGTGTCTAGTTCATGTACGTGACACATGGGCGCTAGTGTCGACGAAACTTTGTTTCTATTATTTTAGGGGTAATTTCTTGATTTGTGCTTTACTGGTTGGTTATATAACTAGGGGACAGGTTATTGTTTATGATTAGATCGTATTATTTGGTTAAACGAGGTTTTAAATGGCTGTAATAACGGGAAACAAATTGTAAACAAAACACGACCTCTACAGAAAACCGTACAGAACTAACAATAAAATTGTCTTCAGCTGTTCCATAAGGATGAGAAATCTACAGTATGTTTTATCTATGGTAGTAGTTAAGGCAGAAGAGCTATAGCCAATTCAATGACTTTCTTGGAGAAGGACAGCACCAAGTCCCCATACATAAATAGCCTACATACCTAAATCATTCAAAACATGTCTGATTCTAGATTCTATCCATAGTCAAAGATTTTACCTGTTCCAATTAAATTCAAAGGCATATATCAAAACAGTCAATTTTCATCAGATGTTACAGCTGCTTGTCTATTATATTCATAAACAACAACTAATACAAACTAACCTAATCTTTGTTTACATAGTGTGAAGTTTAATATTGTCAGCATCAGGATTAAGCATGTTCAGATCTCGAGGTTTGTCAACACAGACGATGGTGACCCAGTTGTCTGAAGTGGTGGGGCCCAACAGAGCCATGGCCCCCATGATAGTGCCCCCGGACGGGGGATGGGGCTGGGTGATAGTACTGGTGGGGCTAGTGGGCTCCTGCTGTGTGGATGGTTGTGTGTACAGCTTCTTTCTGTTCAGAGAACCGATCAGCAAAGACCTCAAAATCCCCCAGTCTGATATATCATACCTTTCATCTCTGAACACTGGTTTTTATTTTGTTGGAGGTAAGTGGTATTGGACTGAAAGTGTTTGTTATTTTGTATCAATGCAAAGGCATTTTTTAAGGTTTTTTGTAAGGAGCCAGTCTAAACCCTGGTATTCTTACTAACTTATAATGTTGTAAGATAAACCAATGACAATAAAAATGGCTTAGCCCAGAATTTATCTCACTTGGAATCAAACTGGTGACCTTTGATTTGAAGGCGAGCACTATAACAACTCAGATATGGTACCCATGACTATTTTTTTTGTTTAATAGTACATTGTACTAAACGTTTTGTAGTGTCGTACCCTACTACAACACCTACCTCAGTCCTGTTAATGAGCATTTATTGCAAAGGAAGCAACATTAAATACCGGTATGAAGTTGACAAATTACTGTAATTAAAAAGTGAACTGATTAGCTATTAATCAGATAAAACTAGTAATTTCTCAACAAATCCACAGAGGGTACAAGCCTATGGGACAACCGTAAATGGCTGCGGAGAAAATTTCTAAAACTGTACATTTATTATTCATTTGTTATTTTTATGGAGAATAAGTAAAGGAACGGTTGTTTTTGTAAATTTGCTTACTAGTAGTCTGCAGGCTTGTTGCAGAGGGGGGGGGGTATTTTTCTCTGCTTAATCATCATTGCTGGACGCTGGACTCTCCACCATTCTCATATCCAAGAAACAAATATTTTTATGTTAGTGTTGCTTTTGCATTTTACCATGAAGTAGATAATTGCTATGTTAAAGTTGTATTTAATTTTAGAATGAAATAAACAAATAGGTAAGTTCAGTTGAGCTGAGTAACTCACTGACAAGGCTTGCTTCAGTAAAATCAGATTCTTTCATTCACACTGTAATATTCCTTCCATCACTCCTAAAACTGACACCTAAAATTTTTTACCCAGAATTGAGTTCTGTGCGTTTTCATCTTAGCAGATGACTTTTAGTTTGTAAATGTGACATATGAAACATTATAACATAATGTGTATAATGAAGTAAAACAGAGGTGAAATTAAATTTACTTTCTAATTTTGAGTTTAAACTGTATCTTGTGTTAAACATTTTCTTATTTTGCTTTTAGCAGTTTTAGCATGCAGCTTTGGGAACCATTTTGGTTTCCGGTTGACCATGGTGCTGGGCGGAGCGGTTACTTCTCTGGGTTATGCTTCTGGCTATCTTCTACAAGAGATGTTTCATTACTATGTTATGGTGGGAGCTTTTGCAGGTAAATGTACTCGATAATATTCAGTACAGTAGAGTCCCGCAAACTCGGCTCTCGATAACCCGGCAGTCTGGATAACTTGGCCATCACTTGGCTCAGAAAATTAGTGATTTTTTGAGTCCGAGTTAAAAATGGACTCAAGCCAAATCATTCGCAACTCATATCAAGGATTTGTTGTACTATATCTGATGACTTAATACTGACTTGTACTATAAACATAAATAAAAAAGGAGGTTAAACAGCTTAAAAATTGTATTGTTCTTATTTTTAACCCTAGTTCCTGATAACCCGGCATTTCACAAACTCTGCACCCTTCCAGTCCACATTACGCCGAGTTTGCGGGACTCTACTGTATATGTCAAGAGGTCTTACCATGCCACCTAGAGTATAGTTCTGCCAAAGTTTCTGTGCGCGCGACCAGATCTGGTCGGGTCCAGGTGAGGGGGTTGATAGGGGTACTTTTATGAAAACATTTTTGTCTTACTACTCACTCACCCCTACCCCCAGCATTGTCAATAACCAATACCCTGCTTATGTTTTAGTTCGGCTAGTAGTGACCCGTCCGCACGCACAGAAGTTTTGGCCGAACTGTAATAGCTTCTTCCCTGTTTCCAATAGGAGGAATTGTCTAAAATTATACAGATTGAGAACAGAAGAAACACTAAAATATGTGACATAGTCTAATTTCAAGGAATACCATTAACGAAAGCAAACCTTTAGACTAAATATATAGCACAAAAGGATAGATATGTGATATGTGCAAAGAAGGAATGAGAATCAAGTGGTATTTTCCAGCACAGTACTTTACATAATATAGAAAAATTGTTAGGTCTGAGGTAAACCATATTGTGATGCTTCAAAAATAAGTTTGAAATGAAAATTAAACTGTGTGTAGCCTATTATGTTGTACTATGTGGTATGACTTTTCAATCAAAATTACACAATAGTGTCTTAGTATCTTAGACTTAGAGCTCAATATTAGAAACTGTTTCAGTTTTAAATGGAAAATATTTAGCATTTTTTATTATTTTAATTATTTAAAAAAAATACATTTACATTTCACTTGTCATGTCGTAGGCTTTGGGTCAGGGTTCATTTCTGTTGGAGGAGCTTTACCAGCCAGTTTCTATTTTGACAAGAAGCGATCCATCGCCCTCGGCATCGTCGCCTGTGGGTCAGGTTTGGGAGGAGTCATAATGCCTCAGTTATTTGACATATTTATGAGTCAGTTTGGTTGGCGAGCTACATTTCTTTTTGAAGGAGGTAACTATTTAAAACCGATACATTAGATGTACAAAGTAAATTTATTCTTATTACTTGAACTACTATTGTTAGAGTGTGAACAACTGCAAAATCTATATGTAAAACTGTATGTTATTTTCTTGTTGGAATTAGGAACCTAGAGGTTATTTCATTAAAAAAGAATTTGAGTTCTTGGGTGGTAAATATGAGGATATGAGGCTATTTTGGGTATTTGACAGTAGCATAGTTTTGGTGATTACTTGGACCCTTGGTGTTGATTCAAGCTAAGAACCTCTACTCTTGGGCTTATTTTGGTTAGATTTCATTCTCTTGTGATTTTAATTTTCATGGTTCTACTCACTAATCAGTCAAAATTGAATTTTGAAATGTAGCATTTTTAGATAAACGCTAAAATTTTACAAACAGATAACTTAATTTTTAAGTGAGATCAAAATATTTTTAGCAGTGACCCTCCTTGGGCCATTTGATAACTACTTTTCTTTTAAACATCTCCAGGTTAAAACATCTGACTTTTTTCTTCGAACAGTGTTTGACTTTAAAATTGTATTTTTACAGTTATAGTGGCAATGACAGTGGTTTTAGGAGTATTAATTCGCCCTCTGAAGCCTGTAATGGTTGTCATTGAAGTTGAGCCGTCGCAGGCCAATGTAAGGGCACGTGAAGACTCCACCCTTGACTTGTCAGTGTTCAGGATACCTCCGCCAACGCCTGGCGATGGCTTCAGTTCCGTATCCACAGGGGTGGGCAGGTCTGTGGTCGAGACGGCTTTGGCTCAGCCCACCATCGCTCAGATGGCTGATGATCTCACTGTGTATGTCTGATTTATGTGATAAATGATTGAAAGGTAGATTAGGTTAGTTGTTCAGTGAAAGTGTTGCGATTACAGAGGTTAGCTGAAAGAAAGATTCATGTGGTCAATCAATCATTGGTCCTAATGCTAACTATATTGTCAATATTTATAGGCATGATTTGTGGATGCGATACTCCCTGGTGTGGATTAACGTCCGTACTAGTGAATACTACGTCTCGGCAATATTATCATTTAGATGCTTTTAGATCAATTTATAAATTACAAATCAAAAATGTAGTTCGGATTCCACTATGAACTGTAGGTCCCTTAGTTGCCATTGGCCATATGGGCTATTAATTAACAGTCCTGCCTTTTCAAAATTAATAGTTAAATTTCTTAGATAATAAAATAAAACATGCTCTTAGACGAACGTAAAAAAAACTTCTCTTTTGTTTAACCATATGACATTTTCAATTACTAATCAATCATTAATAGCAAATATTAGTAAAAATAAAACAGGTGACTAAAACAGTAGAAAAGAAAAACATAATATTAAATCTATAACATTGTCTAAGGAACGTGAACAGTCAGTAAAAAGACCACAAGATCGTGCCAATCATCCCCTTTCATACTTGGCTTAAAATACCTTCCTTTGTATGGTCACCATTTAAGTTAAAAGTATTAAAGTATTAAACCTTAATTTGAGAAATTTACAATTAAAATGTCAGTTTATTTAAACATTTTATTCATTCAAAACTCTCCGCTCAAAGTACATACTATCATAGACAAAAAGAATGAAATATAGACTGTCAGCCGTGCTGCGGTTGCCATGGTTACCATAGGTTCCGGCGCACACCGCTGTAGTTTACGTAGCGCGTACGCCGTAACTGCCGTGGTGCTCCAAGCGGTGTGCGCCAGAACCTATATGGTAACCGCAGCACAGCTGACGGTCTATATTTAATTCTTTTTGTCTATCTGTTTGAACCAAAACAACTTACGTCCCAATACAATAAACCTAAATGATGATAAATCAGTGATGATTAGTGATTAGTGATGATAAATTTAGTTGTACCTTAAATGATGATTTATTAAGTGTTTTATCATTTTATTAAATTAATCTATGAGTAGATAGCACCATAATGCGGAGCAAAGCCATTATACTCCATACTCATCATACCATCCACACCATAGCCAGAGAATGTCTATACTCTATACATACAGAATACAATCTGCAAAAAATTAAAAATTTTTATTTAACATGTGGGTGATTTTTTTTCTATCCTGGACAATAATAACTTTTTCCACAACAGCATTTATTGCTGCTCCCAAAGTTTGTTCAATCCTCATAAAATTAGTAAATAAATTTCACCTGGAAGTTCTTTTAGATACAAAACAACCTAGAGGGTGTATTGTGTTTGGTTACTGTGATTTACTTGAGCGTATTTCAACCTAATACTGAGGAACTCAAATTGCAGAATCAGCATCAAAGTGGGAGATCCCTCTAGTCCGAGTGTGGTCAGTCGCCTACATGAGATGTCTCAGTCTCGTAGAGTGTCTCAAGTGCTGCAGCCCTCGGCTTCCAGCGTCTTCAACAGTGTTCGCATCTCTTCAGATCCATTCCCCCAAACCCAGTTGCCGTGGTGAGAATCATTACTTAACAGATCCTGATAGGATTGTGAGAAGATTTGTAAATTATTTGATTTTCCCTCAGAGGACGGTTAATTGTGTATTTTGAGTTGTAAGGTGGGTTGAGTACAACATTCTTGGGAAATCAGTGTAGAAAAGAACTGTGATTTTCCAAGTTCAGTCTTACTGAGACGGCAAGACAAATTTTGGGAATAGAAGACAGTAAAGTGTATGTCTCTACATCTATAAATGATTGGATCATGTTGATTGCTTAATAAATTTGTATTGTACTGTTTCTTTATGTACTGTTTAAAATCATTTTTTGCAATTTGAAAAATATTTAATGAACCAAGGGAGGGAGTGGGGTGCAGTATTTAGACTTTTTTCATGAACTAAAGCAAATGGCCCTCTTGATCCCAGGTCTTTTGATGTTCCTGTGATGATAACTAGTACAGTAGAACTCCAATTATCCAAATCAATTGGGACTGGACCCCATTCAAGTAATCGAAAATTCGGATAATTGGATTTTTAACGAGATTTAGAGTTTTTTAAAGAAAATAGGCCAAGTCATGCTGATATTTTACTGCTGCAATTGGGAGACGATGACAATGACGGTGTCAACAAGATCGCGAGATAGGTATTGGATTTCGCCCCGATCACGGCTTCTGCCTCTTCTTTAATAACGATTCTTATTACTGTGGTTTTACATTTTAAAATTATTTCTGTAAGCAATTCGGATGATTGGCGATTTGGATAGTTGGAGTTTGGAAAATTGGAGTTCTACTGTATACAATAATAAAAACTTGTTAAAAATATTAACTAAATTTTTTATGTACAGAGTGAGAGACTAGATCACTTAGATTTTGACACTGCCATGTCATGAATTTATACCAGTGGTAATTTTATGTCGCTGTTGTCAACCTCCGTTGGGATGATTACCATTATACACAGGAAGTCTCTTATCCGCCTAAAGCAATTACCATTGACTTAAGTTTATCTAAAGCATTTTCATGTGTTTCACATCTGGTACTTAAGTAAAAAGTCAAAATATTTTGTTATTATAGGGTAATTTAACAGTGTGCACTTTCCTGTTTGGTTATGCTACCAAAGGACAAGTAAATTTACAAATAGGATGTTTTAGTTGGCTGTAATAATTTGACAGCTAATAAAATGATTTTGTAAAATAAAAGACATCAACACACCCAAGCATTGCTTAACATAAACATCTCATAATATTGTCTTCATTTGATCGATAATCGTATGGTAAATCTAAAAGGGGGGTAAATATAGGGGGAGTATGTTTCATATCTGTAATTTCCAAGATGTTAACACAGTTGTGTCTAGGTACAAATGTGGATGCTGTCGGTCTAAGTATGCTAGACTGCCGGAGAGACCACTTATGCGGCATGACCTTTACTACACAGGGAGCCTTATGCGGCTGTCTGAGTATACGGGCAAGGTAATGTAGAAAAACTACAATTCATAATTTAATCAAGCCTCTCTTCACATTGCTCTCTTCTGTATTCCCACTCCCTTGCAAAGAATGGGCAGAGCAACTATTCTTCATTAAAATAAGAAATTGACTTTTAAGGTATTTACTTTTGCCTCTTTGCCCCTATAAAAGTAGTTGTGTAACTGAATTAAAGAACCACATAATTTTCTTCTGTATTCTCACCCCGTCCGGGAGAGCAACTAGTTTTAACAAACAGAATATACTAGACTGATTGGGAGGCTTGCACACTCTTTTTCGGTGTTGATTGGGATGCTTCCAGACTCTTTTTCCGTGTTGATAGTCAACATTTAAACTACTTACTCTAAATCAACATATATTTATATATGTTCACAGCTTTTAACACCAACCTTATAAGTAAAAAATTTTTTCCTCTATGAACATTTGTCTGGTAACAGACACTACACACGTTTTCAAAAGTTTTCTTCACTTAGGTATCACCTTGTACCATTAATAGATGTAGACATCCTTTTCCAATATAAAAGTTGTTGCCAGTTTAAAACTGAAGACCAAGACCAACCGAAAGAACGATTTACTGTCCTGTTTATAGTCCTCTTAAAAACTTATTGTAGGCCAACCTTTATTCCCACTTATGTGACTTAAAAACAAAAGCAAAAGACAAAACCCTCAAATATCTAAACCTATTTTGTTTGCAGGACCGAGATTTGGATTACCACATGAATGTAACCAGAGTTCCCACGTATTACCAGACAGTGCAAGACTTGACTAAAAATTACACAATTTGGTGTTGCCACAATATCTTCACTGGGCTGCGGTACTTGGTAGACTACAAAATGTTCAAGTCCCCAGCGTTCATATGTCTGGCTCTATGTGGCTTTGGAGTTTACCTCGCTTTTTATTCCCCATTTATTTTTTGTAAAGGTGAGAGTATAAGTAAGTGGATTATTTTAAATAAAGGATTCATTCATATTTTATAACCACTTGGTATTAATTTCTGATATGGTCTGAATCAAAATCTAGCAAATCAATAAGTGGTATTTAGCTTTTTGATAATTCCATGACCATGGTTTAAACCCACCTCAAGACGATCCACCAATGCTGATGTAAATGTTATGTGTCTTTATTGTGATTTGGAGTTCATTTACAGATGTTATTTGAGGGATTATTGTGCGCATTTTCTATCACGTATAAAATAACATATTTCACAACCTTTTGGGTTTTGTTACTGTCAAGGACAATATCGGATTTCAAATCCCAAAAAATATCCTAAATAATTTCTTAAAAATAACATAAACATACTATATAACTACAAAGTAAACTTTAAAAAGTACAGCTAAGAAAATTGTGCCTGTTAAAATTTAATCTCATGTTAATTTTTAATAATTTTGTTAATAGTCTTGCGTGTTTGCAGTTCACCTGGATGAACTGGGAGTTGGCGAGTACGCTTCAATGCTCGTTTCTCTGATTGGGTTGGGTAGCATGATTGGTCGTCTTCTGAGCGGACTCATCATCACGGCGTTTCCGAGGTTTGACGCTTGTAGTGTCATGTCCGCCATGATGATGTTGTCTGGCGTCTCAATTGCTATCATGGTGGTCTATGACAACCTCTACTTCAAGGGGATTTGCTTATTCATCTTTGGATTTACAAGTGGTAACTCTACACTCTACTGATTTAGTTTATCAAGGAGAGAATAAGGAGTAACTAGGTATAATAAATATTTCTCTTAAGCCAAAAGACAAAGAGTAGTTTCAAACAAAAATCTGAAAAAATCCCTTTCAAAGTCCTTTTATTAGAACCTTTTATCAATATTATGTTTTGTGACCTGTTATGGTGTATCTTAGCCCCCGACTTTTATTTTCTCAGATAAACTAGCTGAACTCTTTTCCACATTAGCCACTTGGTTTTTTTTATAATAGATAACTATAATTCTTTGACACCATTTTCTAGGTTTCTATCTGCCACTACGTTCTCTAGTGATTGTCGACTACTTTGGACTTCAGAAACTGACATCGGCAACTGGTGTGGTGATAGTAGTAATCGGTTTTGCCTCATTTCTTGGTCCTCCTGTCGCTGGTTTGTTTATTTCAAATTTTACCTAAATTTTAGTATACTGTACATTTAAGAAAAAAAATTATCTTCAAATAACGCTTGTTATTTGTGTTGGTAGAACGTTTGTCTTTCACAGTTTTTTTCAATATTTACAGAGAGCTTGATGCGATACACAGGAAACAAGGACACTCCGTTCTACTTGTGTGGGATCTTCTTTGCGTTGGCCAGTGTGTCTCTGTGGCCAATGAAATGGCTGAGTGAGTGGGAGAAAACACGGAAAAATCTTGTTGCAGAATAGCTGAATATATACTATTTACCATCCACTTTAGTAAAAAACCTAAGACAAAGACAGTGATGATAAAGTCCAATCTATTACTAAGTGATTTTTATTGCATATTTGTATATTCAGAAATATATACTTTTAAAAACAATTTAATACAAATTTAACCTAACATTTATCAGGGTGAATTAATTTTGCCCCATGTGTTTGTTTCATGCCTAGTTCGGTTTATCAAAACATAAGAAACAGAAAAGCTCCAAGACCCCTAAAGTAGCCAAGCAACTTTTCTTGTTAAATTGATTATCGGCATCAATGAATGAGAAATATTATAAATAGGGTGATCAACATAAAACCACTTATTTATACAATAATATACTTTATTAAAATATATAGAACAGTTCATAAATAAAGAAAAAAACATAAAGCAATCTTACACATATACATTGCTAACACATTTAGGTTATATACATTCTTTCAATAAATTAATAAATGAATACAAAATTTGTCTTGCATTAGCAAGCACAGGAACATAAACATTTCCCCTGAAGTAGTAATAATGAGCACAATGAACTTTTATTCTCCAACCCAAAATTTGGTTTTAAAAGCAATTTTTGCAGTTCAAATTTGGATAAGTTACCACAAATAGTGAAAAGAGAGAGGGTAAAGTATTAGATCTCAGTAATAACAGTTACCATTTTATGGATAACTGTTGTGTATCTCTTACATACAATAATTACAATTTATGAATATCAAAATTGGATGTACTTGAGAGGCTGAATTTGAAGATGAATGTTCAGTTTCACCCATACATAACCCACTGCTTTTTCAACCAAGTCTGTCTTCAAACCAGATAATAAAAAATAACCAACTTGTATATGTGAGTGAACTTAAGCTTAAGTTTTAGTTTGAATCTGATTTTCAGACTGACCACTTTATGATTTACACATATTCAAACTATACAAATACTCTTATAAAAATCACAGATGACCTGTTCTTAGACAGAAGTAAGATCACGAATGAGGGATCGAAGCGATGATTTCATCAATACGAGTGCGTATGGCCGATTGTAGGTTTTGAGCCATCATTCTGTCCCTTGCAGGGTTGCCGTAGGAGGGACGCAGCCCAAACGTACGTGCTCTGGTTGGCCCCCCACTGTTCTGTTGTTGCGAAGCGTTCCGCTGTAACCTTTCATTTGGCAGCATGTGTCTATATCATTATACATAAACATTAATTTTTAGTTTTAAAACGTTTTTTTCAAATGTATGAGTGAAAGTAATATACTTTTAGGCCCTAATTACACGTGGTAGTCTGGTGACAAAGCTGGCTGCTCAGCCTGTCATGAGGCATTGATTCTTATGGATGTTATTACACGAGGGTAGTCAGCGACGTAGCCACACTTTGGCGACCGACTGGCTACCGAGCCCCGTCGCCACTGGCTATAAAACTGGAAATATTCTGGCAACTGAACTGGCTACTAGGTTTGGTAGCCAGTGCGCTGCCAGCTACTGTCACTGGCGACGTCGCCAGGCTACTTCGTGTAATATGGCTCTAAGTTTGACAATATCCTAATAGGATAGGTTGATCAATTTAACAGTGATTTTGAACACAGTTAAACCTCTCATATCTGGCCATCATGGGACCAAGCCTAGGTCGGATGAACCAACATTGGAAAATGCAATTCAACCCCAATTATCTACCCACATAAAAGATGCTTAAATATCATTTTAGGTTGCTATTGAAAAAAAACATATCTTAGTAAAGCCGTCATACGCTACTGTTACTCTACAGCTACAATCAGAATCAAAGCAGTAGTGTATACCAAACAAAAAACAGATAGCCCAGTAGGCCTACAGTCTACAACAAACAACAAAAGTTTATCAGTCTAATTTAATTGTAAACCATCAGGAATATATCTTATTTTTAGCTACAAGAAGCAGCAGTATAAAGACAGGACAAGAAAACCCATGGCCAAATATGAAAGGTAATACTAAACTGCACTCCTACAAGAGTTCATTGCATGACCTAATTATAGTAGAACTGATTTTCTTGCCCTTGAGAATGCCAAAGAAAGCCTATCAACTACCATACAAAGAAAAATTTAATGTTTAAAATTCATATTTAGACATTAATTCTATGTACACTTGTGTTAACCCATTGAGGAAGGAATTAATTAAGCCTGCAGGACCCTCGGGCAGCAAATAATTTTACCGAATTTGTAGACTTTTACTCTAAGTGTAATAGAAATAGAACCTTAAGGAATAAATTAATATTTTTTTAACCATTTTGTTCACGGTAAAATTGTCTACAAAAAAGTGGTAATTTAATAATAAAAGTGTAAAATAAAAAAAATAAAATTATAAAAATCATAAAAAATAAAAATGTTTAAAACAATTTTTTTTAAGTAAACTTTATTTACAAATCCCAAGAACAATCCAGACACCAAATGACACTATTATTATAAAGTTCAATTGATTCCCTACGTAGAAAAATCACAAGTTGTTTACTTTAATAAGTAATTATATAGAAAAAATGTTTGTTTTACCTTACACACAGATGATTTTGGGTGATATCTGGTTTCCATGACAACACAACCTTGTTTGTAATTCGCAAAATTAAATGAGTAAATATGCAAAACGAATATGCGGCACTCGTAAGTCAACCGCCGGGCCTGCAGCATCTGTACGAGTAACGCTCGTAAGTCGGCGCCAATGGATTAATGATCTAGTGATAATAATCAATAAATTTTAACTGATTGTACAATATTCCTTGATCAACAAAAAATACTATAAAAGACATTGACATCAATATCAATATTAAATAAAGTAGCCAATAACAATTTTTATAGCCATAATATGTACACAGTGAATAAATGAAAACAAATTTTACTTAAAACTATTTCTTCTTTAACTTAAATGGACAATCCCAAAATGAAAACTTGTAATTTTACCTCAACCGAGCCAGATCTACAGGGGTCAATTCTCTGGCATCCTCCCCTATGCGTTGGACCGGTATCTGACCAACCCTTCTGACCAAGGTCTTCTGGTAGGATACCTAAATAGAGCAAATAAAATTAAATCACAAGTTATAAAACAAAAATCCAACTTGCACAATAACATCTCATTTCTAACTAGATAAAAGAGAACATATAGGTTTCAATCTAGTAAATAAAAAATGAGTGATTTATAAAGATCTTCCAAATGGTGACTCGGATATATCTTTATCAAACAAGATATTCAAATAAAATGGTGTTAAGTTATACACACCGGAGGTCTGGTAACATTATTAGTCAGCTTGTGGAGCCAATCACAGCTCCTCTCAAGTTCAAAGACAGGTTGAGGTTCAACAACCTGAGGCTCCTCTTTAATTTCATCAATATCAGGAACAACCTGTAATCAGAAATTTGTAAATTTAGTAGATTTTTTTGGGAAGTGTAAATGATTCAGCTTACCTGAGAAAGTAGACTCTAGGCAAGATCCCACTAAAACAGGCCATGCTGCAGGAACCATGACATTCACACTTGTGGATAGATTCACTGCCATATCCCAGATGTTTTAGGTAAACAAGCTTGCTGTTTGTCAGATTTTAACGGCAAGATTCCACCACACAACAACAATCCACCACTGTGACGTAGTGTTGCGCTGTCCGCGCTGCAGCATGGCCTGTTTTTCTAGTGCGGCCTTGCTCTAGGGGTCTACTGCATTTGTAATTTAAGTACGTAGGTGATTTTTTCACATTTGTTCTTTTTATTAGGATGTATTAGTGAATTACTCATATATCAAATCAAATCAAAGACCGATTTACTTTTTCATATTGATGTCCCCCGACATTTACTTTTTCGTATTGATGTCCCCCCACATGTCATCTCCCTCTCACATGTCATCTTCAAAAGGTTTTAACATTTTGTTACAAACTCGGGTGTATATTTAGCATAAAAAAGTACTCTAAACACATGTTTAGAATTAGTGTAGAACATGTCTTTTAAGTTCTGTTATGAACGTAGTTTTTATGTGGTAAGGACTGATTTCTCAGGGAGGATTTAAACAAACTACTCTCTGATTTTTTAAGATTTCAAAGGAGATAAGCTCTCAATAATTACATCAACATGTCCCAGCATTACCTGGAGAGGTTCTAGGGGCGCCATGAGGCTCCTCGAGGTGGCGATTATAACACTGAGGCTGTCAAGCACCTCCGACGCTGTCATACGCTGTGACGGCTCTAGCACCAGCAGTCTGCGTATCAGTGACATTGTGTTCTCTCCCACCCTGCCATCACTACACACATGCAATGCAAAAATATGAAAATTGTAGTAAACATTTAAAATCATGAACACCTATACTTTTTCTTCTTTATTTATTGATGCACAAAATAAAGATGAAAAAAACAATGATTTGAAAGTATAGTTACATACTTAGGTATCGTGTAGTCTGCAGCCTTTATCTTGTTGAACAACTGTGTCGGACTAGAATCATAGAACGGGAACTGACCGTACAGCATTGTAAACAGAACTACACCAAGAGCCCACATGTCTGACGGTTTACCTGAAACATACAGGAGAAAATAAATAATCTGAGAGAGGAAAAGAGCAAGAAAAGTAAGGTTTACCTATTTATTACTCATGTATTTTTTTTGCCACAGAATCACTTACCTTTGTAAGGATTGCCACAGAATGACTCACCTTTGTAAGTTTTGATACAGATTCACCCCTCTATTTGCCACAGTATCGCTCACCTATGTAAGGTTTTCACTCATCTATGTAAGGATTGCCATAGTATTACTCACCTATGTAAGGTTTGCCGCACAGTACGTCAGGAGAGATGTAGGCAGGAGAGCCCCGCTGGTCCTTCAGCAGGTCCTGCTCACTGGCCAGGTGTTTGCCCAAACAGAAGTTGGTCAAAGTAACCTGGTGCGTCCTCTGGTTCAATACTATGTTGCCGAGTTTCAGGTCTCGATGGACAATGTTTCTCTATAAAAAACATTATGATATTTTTTCTTTGTATACATAAACCAGTTGCATTGATAACAGTTTGTAGTCAATCCACTACCTGTGGTAAACTTTGATTCAATTCAACTTATAACAGTGCATTCTTATGATTCTGTAGTATATTTTAGTTTCTAAGACAAAGTGTATTAGGACTTTTATAGATAGTAGCAGCCGAGTTTTCAGTATCGCGAAATGTAGTGAAACTTCTAGGGATGAAGCAAGGCCACACTAAAAAAACAGGCCATAATGCTCGTCACGCATGACGTCACGATAGAAGACGGCAATGACATAATTTTTGCCGTTTGTGATCAGCTGCTTGTTTTAATCTTTCCTTGGAAAATATATAAATAAATACCTACGTCATTGCCGTCTTCTATTGTGACGTCATGCTTGACGAGCATTATGGCCTGTTTTTTTTAGTGTGGCCTTGTATGATGTGGGAATGTAAGAAGGGATTTGGCTGGAAGTTTTTTCAACCACATTACTCTGATCATCATCTGACCAAATAGCCAAATATCACTCATTTGCGTCAACATTCGCCTAACCGATCGCCACTTACCATCTTTTATATGTATTTACCATCTTGTGAGTTAACAGGATTAGTGTAAAAATATGTCCCAAGAGTGCTTTTAGACTTTTTCAGTAAGAACTATCCAAATTTATTGATTTACAATACAACTCTCTAGTGAGTGGTTCACAATCAACGTGTTAAGCAGTGCTGTTGCAATCGCAAGTTTATACAGAGTCTGAGTGTTATGTTACATAAAGTTAAGGAAATAATCATAAGCAATAAACAACTATCTCACCTCATGTAAACTGCGGACAACGTCGACTGTGTTGTAAAGAATCACAGCTGCTTCTCTCTCTGAGAGCTTCTTCTCTCTAAGAAAAAACAATAATGAACAATGAAAACCATATGTTTTGATGCAATAAGTACAGATAAACACAATGAAAACTAATCAGATTCAGGACCAAGTTAACGGTCTACTAAAATTAATGGTGAAATTTAAAGTTAAGATTAAAATTAAATTGGAAAATATTCATATAGGCCTAGGCCCTAATTGAAAAAGAGGTTAATTATCCTTGAATTACAAAATACAGTATAAGTATATACATAAATGATAATTGGTAAAAAGATTCTTTACATAGAAAACTTTTAAATATCTTAATTGCTAACTTATCAGTTATGTATTCAACCATTTTTGTTATTTTCCCCCCAATATAAACGAGAGAAAAATATGTCTTAAGTTGGTGATCTGGTTGATGTATCCTACAACTAAAGGTGTATTAAAATTAGAGGAACGTTTTTTAACCCGTCTCTCATCTACGTCTTCCCTGTATACATTGGCCAACTTACCTGATGACGTAATGTTGAAGGTTGATTAGATCAGCTGTGCGGGGACAGAAGTCGTGAGCAGAGAGACAGTCTAGCACTAGACATAACCTCGTTCTCACCCTCCCTGTATACACTGGTCCATCTCTGGTCAGCTTCTCCTCCAGAGCTAAGTCCTGTAATAATGCAACATGATGATAACAATCGAAGATTGCAATCGAGTTATTCAAATTATTATTGGTTTCAAAGCTGATGAATCTAATTTAAATTTATTTGTCATAAAATTGTTTGCAATGGCTGTCCGTGGATTAGCTTTGCGGCCAAGCAAGTTTGTTCAAATCTGACACTAATGCTGTGTTCTTTACTTCATCCACTAGCTTTCTGCTGGTTTCACCTCTAGGCAAAAATCAGTCTCGTCACACAAGTCACATCAGTCGTCGTTGGGTAGACAAATACCCCTGCCACAGCAAACCTGTAGACTAAGCGAATTTCCATTGAAACCCGTAACGCGGGGGCCACGCGCTCGACAGGGACCATTACATTAAAATGGAGTGTCCACACGAGCGGGATTCACGATGCGGGTGGATGCGTCAGTAGGCGGGAGCACGGAGTTGACGTCAATGTCGGTGTCAATCCCGCGTCGGGAATCCCACCAGTCATTCTACACGTAGGTCCAATGCGGTATCACCACACATGGCAGCTCACACCTCATATCTATTGTCCAGTTGCTTTTGGGTTCTTCAGTGTGGTGTTATGTTCGATCATAAATGTAGCATTAAATTAGTTTCATTTGTTATAGGCCTACATTTTGTATTCCCTTAGTCAAAAGTATTTTTATTTCAACTATAAAAATAGTCGGTCAGCTAGTATGTTACTAAAATATTTGTCATGTAGGACATTTAATTTATTAACATAGGCTACAGTAAATAACAGTTTATAGCCTATATTGTGTAATGGCAAAGTTAATACAAATAAAAATCACTACACAAAAACCAAAATTTGTTCTATAAAATTAAAATTGAAATTTATTCGTCTGAGAAAAGCGATTTTGTATGTATCGTAAGTTATATTTCTAAATTATGTAAATAAAGAAAAAATAAGAATAACTTAACTTGGTCCAAATTAATAAAACCGAGCTCCAACGTGTCCATCCCGCGTTTTAACCGCTTATGTACAATGGAGCGACGGGTTTCAAGTGGACTTCACGTGACGGGGATCCCGCCGTAGTTTGCACAAAAATTTGGCGCGTTCACGCAGGAATCCCGTCGCGGATTTCATGCTCCTGTACAATGGGCCTTACCTGTCTGTCAATGATCCTATTGTCGGATTCTCACGATTTAACCCCTATCAAGATCCAATTTCAGTTGTCACATGTGTAGAAGTGTTAAGATATAAAAAACATGGTGTAGACAGCCTGTGGTTGTTTTCAGACAGTTTGCGGTTTGTTTGGGGAGTAACCAAAGTTGGGAGTTTTACATGTGGATTGTAGTGTGACTGGACGAGAGATTCTTGAACTAATTATGAGACTACCAGGGACAAAGAACACAGTAAACCCTAATAGTCTTCAACAAGCCATCAACTATGTTTTTTTAACTTTAAATACTGTCTCCTTTGAAACTTATAAACACCTGTTGCAAGCCCCATGCAAATCAATACAGCCTTCTTTTAACGTCCTTAGTCACTATAGCACATGTTTTACATTTTACACCTTTCTACATACGCATCTGTCTACTGGTAATGCAATTCAATAGGGCTAGATCCCCTTCTCACAGAAACCTAGTCACATAGTATGATTCTTACTTCGTGGGAACGTCAATTTTCTCTATTAGTTTTAGAGGACTACACAGTGTCTTTTACCATAGACTAACCAACACAAGTAGACTTCTCATCCCATTGTAAATTTTGAAGCACGTTTTTCGTGTCTAGTTCATGTACGTGACACAAAGGCGCTAGTGTCGATGAAACTTTGTTTCCATTATTTTAGGGTTAATTTCTTGATTTGTGCTTTACTGTTTGGTTATATAACTAGGGGACAAGTTATTGTTTATGATTAGATCGTATTATTTGGTTAAACGAGGTTTTAAATGGCTGTAATAACGGGAAACAAATTGTAAACAAAACACGACCTCTACATAAACCGTACATGAACTAACAATAAAATTGTCTTCAGCTGTTCCATAAGGATGAGAAATCTACTAAGGGAGTATGTTTTATCTATGCTTTTACTAAATGTGTCAGACCATCGAAAGTTAACTGCTGTTACTTTACTATTGATAGGTTGAAAAAAGCATTTTAATCATACTGTCCGGAAAGCAGCCGTTTTTAGTTCTCTAAATAGTCAGTCAAAATCATCGTTTTCGGGTAACTTCAAATAGGGAACAGAAAAAACGTACAGTAAATTTTTTGGTTCGCCAACCTCAAAATTTCTTCAGTCATTATGTAAACACTGCTAAGAACATGATATTTCAAGTTATGTTTGTAAATAACAGAAATGTAAACATTGATGACGACTTTCTATAACCTCAAATTATATGGTCTAATTTTGCAACGATTAGAAGTTATTTCCATTGTACTGTATGATGAAAACAGTTGTTCATCACACGGAGCGAAAATGTCTTTTTGGTACGGTACTTAATCATATTTCAAAATCGTGTACCTGTACCAAAAAGAGCCACTTTAGCTCCAAGTGATGTAAACTACTACTACAAACCTTAAAGAATCCGTGATGGTGTACAACATTCTCCTGATTAGATAAGAGCGACAGCAGTGAGTACTCTGTGTGAAGCAGCATCTTGCCTTGACGTTCATCCTGAGTCTCCTCAGTCCCACCCTTCAGAATCAGTAACTGTTAAACATAATTAAGACCTGTAATACTCTGATTAACACCATTTGGACACAAGGAGAGTAGTGGAAATCATAGAAAGGCACAAGTAACCTACAGTCGGAAACATAACTGTAGCCTATAGCCTACAACCATAGCCTAAACATTTCGTTAGCTATGGTTTTCCAACAAAATTTGGTACTTTGGTATTATACCGACCACACCTAAATTGGGTTAGGTGTAGGGTTGCCATATCCCCGGATTTTCAGGGAGATTACCAGATTTCGACGTAAAAAATTTAGCCCTGGAGGATTTCTGAAAAAAGTGAGAAATCTCCTCTTTTTTTTACTCTCTATTAAAATACATGTATAAGGGCACTTTAGGAATTGAATGCACTGAAAAATGCAACTCTTGTGTACTTACTCTCTATAGTTATTTGTGCAACTAGTGAGAAAAGTGAGCAATTGACTCACTCGAGAGAAATCCATACTCACGAGCCGTAGGCGAGGGAGGAATGGTTTCTCAAGTGAGGCAATTGTACTTTGAACTCGAGTTGCACATTATACTTTTCCTACAGTTACCATAAAACACAAAAAATTTTGAAGAAACATAACCTATTTTTACACAGAAGTGAACTTTTAATATAACATTTAATGTGAAGTGACAAATATTACAGTACAACAGCTGACCAGCTGATTTACAGCCAGTGCTGCCAACGTATTTCGCGCGCATACGACGTTGCCTGCATGTTACGCGCTCTCTATTTCGTGCCTTCACGTTGCAAATCTGGAGTGAGACAAAATAATTAGAGTGAGACAATGTTAACATTATCTCACTGATGAGCGAATTGGCCACTTTGCTTTCTCAAATCAGTGAGAGAACATGTACATTGTTAGGTAACTGTAGGAAAAAGTTTTTTTTTATTCTTTAGTTTCACTTTGGCCAGCGTCGTCCTTAGTTTAATAGTCTATCATCCGTTTCACTGCTCCCAGTCCTTCAATTCGCGTCTGCTGGCCAGGCCGAAGGTATACTTGTTCACTACCAAAGCCAAACTGAGTCTAGCCGGCAGAGAGATATTTTTACGTTATTTGTTACTTTTAGTGAGGTGTGACGAGTAAGATGCAAATTATAGGTTTTCGCGTGTCCCATATTAAAATATTGGCAACGTAGCACAAATATTGAACAGAAACGGTACGGATTAATAAACATAAACAAATTGCGTCATGGCTTAAATGTCAATACTAATAGCCAAAACAACTGGTTTGGACAAAAACGTGTTTACCTTTAGGCCAGTGACATAATGTTTTTATGTGTAAGACCCATACCGTTTTCTGTTATAATATTTTTGTGCTATGTATGTATACAATTTTTGCTAGCCCATAAATTTTTAACCACTGTAGTGGGGGACGCCAGCTAAATATTTTTGTGCTATGTATGTATACAATTTTGCTAGCCCAAAAAATTTTTAACCCTGTAGTGGGGGATGCCAGGGCCAGCTAAAATCTCCTCTTTTTTACATATTACCATATGGCAACACCTACGACGAACAGGTATGGTAGGGTTTCTCCATATGGCAACCCTAGTTAGGTTACCACACCTTTGTTAGATTAGGTTAGGATAAGAACCTAACCTAACCTTAGGGTAGGCTAAGCAATTTAGGTGTGGTCAGTATAATACCAAAATACCCCAAATTGGAGAACCAATGAGTTATATTTGTATTGGCTATCTTGAGCGATATGCAATCCAATATCTTTCTACCAGGTTGTCTAATGCTTTTGACAAATAGGCCTACCGATAATTAAAAGTTATCTTACCTTGAGTGTAAAGAAGTTGTCAGTACCCTCCTGGCGTGCGAGACACTGGACAATGCTCTTGACTGGTGAACTACCCAGAGTTGGTCCTAGCAGATACGGACCTGCACGCTTCACAATGTTTCTTGAGACTTTGGTGCCTTCAGGTGGAACTATGTTAAAACCATGATAATTAGTTGAGGATTGTATTTAAAATGTATTGAAAACTAAATAATAAACTCTAAAAGCATGCCCAAGTTGTTTTACTCAACATTATTTGTTGAGAAATTTGTAAGAGTGCCTGATGTCTGATATGCCTGTTATCTCAATGTGCTTGATGTTAAGTTTTGATTTAGCATCAATAAACCTTTTTAGTTATTATTTTGTATTATTAAATTAAATTAAATTTGATTGCATTTACCTTAAATGAGAGTATTAATTTCGGACTGTGCTCTAGTTTTTTGATTAATCTTAAATGCTCAGCTAACCAAGAGATGAGACACAAGGCTGCTTGCAGCCCCTGATCGAATATGTAGCTCCATGAGAATAATTGTCAATAATTTTTATGTTTGTACAAATTTAGTTGTAAAATTTAAGGATAATAGTAAGTTAGGCCTATTCTTAAGAAAAAAAAGCAAGGAACAGTTGCTGCATACAGTAGACCCCCTCTTAACCGACCTCGCATTAACCGATAATCGGACTATCCTTAATCGTAAAATATTACAGTTTGTTTTCACCGTCCTTGCTTTGAGAGCAGTTCGGTTTAACTGCCGCTTTCTTAACCCGGCACGAGCCTGGGATTGATTTCACATTACTTCAGGCTAGACCTAGGGGTTGCGGCATTATCACTTAGATAAAATCCATTGGTGACTTAGCGGGGATCAAACCCGAGACCTCGCGCTCTAGCCACTACGCCAGCTTGCTCCCCAAACCAGCTCGCTCCTCAGGATGTGACTAAGATGAAACATTTTGTATTTAGGCCTATCCCAAAAAATTCCATATTGCCAGTTTGTCATCATTGTTTGAAGCGTGAGCAACCTGATTTTTTATCCGTGCGATAAATTTATAAAATCGTAAAGTGTGTTACGATTTTTATAACTGATTATCTTATCACTAGAGTAAACAAACAACGCAGTTTTGTAGGGTGGGCTCTGTTGAAACCATTATTAAAACAGAATTGGGCTTAATATTTTTTTATTTAATTTGTAGTGCCAAGGTAAAATTATATTTAAATTATTTGATATTGAAATTTAGTTAATATTATTTGGTTAATACTTTAGACTTTATTTTATCAAAGTTAAAATGTCCACAATTTATATTCTGAATACTACCTTCTTTGTAACTGGGTCAGTTTTTGGGAGTCCCATCTTAATTTGATAGTGTATGTGTGGGTCTGTGACATTTTATCCTGGGAAATATTTCTTTAAACAAATTCATGAGTTTTACTTTTGTTGGGTTTAAAAACCCCAAAAGGCCACAGATTCTAATCCTGCATGCTATGCAAATAAATGGTACTTGGTACCAGTTTAGTTAGTCTTAGGTTTTTTGTCTTGTGTCTACACCAGTAGGCCTACGGATTTTTTTCCCAACACCTTTAAAGAAAAGCTGTCAAAACAGATTAGTTTTGTGGGTGTGCCAGGAATCTATGATCTATAATGATCTAATTAATACTAAGGTAGAACAATTAGGAATAAAATGTAGCATAACATTATTATGCACCAACTAAATAGTGCAGTAGGCCTACTTAGCAAGCAAATGTTATGTTTTAATTACCGGTAACTTGAGTTCTCTTAAAAAGCTTAGTAGGCCTACTGGGTACAGTTTCTTAACTGGGCTCCCCTAATATCAATTGAAAATACTGATTCGATTAGTAAACCTTCATTCATTTTTTTCATTATCAGCAATTTTGGTTAGTTAGGTTACTTATAACAGTTTAATTCTACTGATATAACTTAGTTTAAAATATTGATTATTAATCGATATATTCAATCGATATTAGGGTTAGCCCAGTTAAGAAACCGTCCTCAGCTTAAGATAGTAGCCTACCTATACATGAAGCACCCTTATCATATGAGGTTGACGGTAATGGTCCTAATTGTTGAGAGTCATTTGCATCCACCGGGCTTGGTGGGAATACAGCATCTCTCCTTTTGCAAACTTGCTTTCTTTCAGCAGCTTCCATATCTAAGCCTTTGAGAACAATGATTTATTTTAGACTTGGTTTTTAAGTGTGTTTTCATATAAATGTTAATAATAGATTAACTTAATCAAAAAAACCTAATTTAACATGTAACTTATTGCAATCTACGGCAACAAAGATTTAGAAAATAAAACCTAGATAACTTAACGACTAAGTGGAAAAACGTTTAAAAAGTCCTGCATAACAGGGCCGATTTACCGAATAGGCACGGTAGGCACGTGCCTAGAGAGTCAGGTAGGCCTAATTGGCTTTTTTGGGGGGTGCCAAAATTGGAAAATAAAATATTTGGTGGTTGTATTTGCATATGATCGCGTTAAGCTACTGATAATCGCTTGCACCGTATAGACATCGTAATTGCCCGCCGCGGCAAATTCTGATCACCCCTCGCTGCTGTGAAGACATCATTGAATCGTCCCCCAAGGTCGAGTGGACATAGTAATCCACATAGTAATCGCCTCCCACGATTGCAAAAAAATTGTAATCATCTCCCGCAGCCATGTGGAGATCATCATGTTCCGCGCATGAATGTGGTTAAATTCTGATCATCCCTCGCGGCCGTTTAGAAATCATAGTGTCTCCCGCAGTCGTGTAGACATCATAATCCTCTCCCGTGGTCTTGAAGACATTGTAATCGTCTCCCACGATTGCGGCAAAGAGTAAATCGCAGTCATGTCACTGCAGTCGTGTTATCATCGTCTTCCGTGATCGCAGAAATATTCTGATCATCCCTCGCGGCTCCGTATAGATAGGGCCTATCATCATCATCTTCTGCGATCAAGGAAAATTCTGATCATCCCTCGTAGCTGTATGTAGACATATTATCGTCTCCCGTGGTCAAGGAAACGTCACTGTTGTCATGCGCGATCGCGGTAAATTGAATATTACTGGTAGAAATACAAAATTTACAATTCCCAGTTCAAACAAACTCACGCATAATTCCCTGATTTACCGGTCGGTGGATACCCGTTATATATTAATGCAAAGGGGCACTACTATTAGTAGTTGTGCCTAGGGCGCTTACAATGTCAAAAACGGGCCTGCTTGGTGAGAATGATAGAATGAGAATGATTTATTTCCTGAAAGCATCAATATGTACAAGCAAAAGTCAATATATCAACAAACTTAGCCTAAGCCTGCAACACACCATGCAGTGCAGAGAAGAAAACTAAAATTATTAATCATCTCACTAGGCCCACATTGACTAAAAAAACTTACTTGGCCAGGTGAAATTAAAAAAAAAAAACTCTTTGAATGAGTAGGCTAAATCAGATTTGCCAACATTTAAGTAAGTAAGGGCATAGACAAAAAGAATTAAATATAGACCGTCAGCTGTGCTGCGGTTACCATAGCTTCTGGCGCACACCGCTTGGAGCGCCATGTAGTTACGGCGTACGCGCTACGTAAACTACAGCGGTGTGCGCCGGAACCTATGGTAACCATGGTATCCGCAGCACGGCTGACAGTCTATATTTAATTCTTTTTGTCTATGGTAAGGGGTACACTTCCATATCTGTTGGCACTAAAAACCAAATGAGTAATATAGATTATTCGATTGTTAAATTCGACATTATCCTTTGGTTAGTTAGGTTAGGTTAACCTTACCTTAATAACCAAACGATATTAGTCTATCCTTTTACACAAGGCCCTAACTTATCATTAATTCTTACCAGAGGAAAGAGTTGGAACGGTACAGTCATGTGTTCATTTAACTGTAGACACTGTTATTGTTAACTGTTTTGTATGGTATGTTTGGCTTCTTTGGAGCAAAAGGGCGGTTAATTCACCAGTTGCCCACAGAGTTCAGTTACTTCAGTAATTAAAAAATAAACAAAATAGTATAAATTCAAAAAGTGTACAAATTATGTCTTGACAAGTTGGCAATCAACACAACACAAAACAAATGCACTAAAGTTAGAGACGAAAGTTTACTTTTGACAACTTTTCGACAACGACTAGACGACTAGACGAACAACAACAACCAGACAGCAACACAGCAGACGACTTTCAACTTCCAACTTCCAACTTCCAGCAAAATCTAAAAATGTTATTCAATGCAGAATAAAAACAAAAAACATGAAAACAAATTAGGACAATAATAATACTGCTACCAACTGTCCGTATTATCATTTAGGTACTTTGAATAGTACCATAGTACACTATGTATAAGCATAGATAAAACATGGTATAAGCTACCACCAAGGAGTGTAATTAATCTATGCTTTGCTAACACCAACAAACCATCAAACCATTGTTATTGTAACATAACATGAGGTAGAACAATGATCAATAAAGATTATTTCAAGACTATAGTGTACATGTTGCTCGAAATCGAGCAATTGCAAAGAAGTAAAGTAGTTACAGTATTTAAAAACAAATAACTTTTTTAAATCGAATAAAAGTCATAATTTCCGATGAGTTTAAAAGACTCAACTCATAGTTTACTTACCAAACAGTTTCATATAATCAACATTTCTTATTATATCATTTTTCAAAAGCTGGTCTGGTTTTTTAGAATATTCTACAAATCTTTCCCACTTATAAAAAAATCATATTGGTATCATAAAAATAAAATTGGTTTTTTGCATTAGGCATGTTGATCTTCGTCAATGATAATGTAGTCTGCATTGTACTACCCGTTGTCGCCAGTACGTTTACAAATTTCATTAATTTTTTATAGCGATAACATTTTGTTCACAATACTTAAGAACTGCCTGATTTTCTGCATATAGTCCAGTAAATAGAGACAAAAATAGGGGAGTTAACTTACAAACGGTCCGGTAAGTCTAAATTTTTTATATGTTGTCTGAATGGTAAGTAGGTGATGGTAGGTGTTTAAAATGAAAAATGCACAATTCTCTCCCCTCCGCGCCCGCCGCCATATTGAAAAATCGAAAAAATCTGTACTTTCTAGATATTTTCGCCTATATCTCCGTTTTGGTGCGTTTTAGCGAAATATATGTAACGTCAATATTGTAGACAATTAAATTTCTTATAAAATAAATATAACAATTTGGTTCTAAGACTTATGGATACGAAAATATTTAAATTTTTGTACAATAAAACGTAAAATTTGTTGTTATTTTGACAAATCTTTATTAGTCCAAGCAAACTAAAAAAACTGACACAGGGAACGTTAAAAAAATTGCAAGAAAACGTTTTATGGTTTTATTTTGTAGTGTTGGGTCTGCAGAGTACACCCTACCTATACATATTATACATATTATATTACATATTAAAATTAGATTCATACATATTAAAATTTGCCGAAAATCGGTCTACAGAAAACCTCCTAAAATCACGATAAAAAATGGCGGCTTTTCTCAACATTGGAGAAATTTGAAAAAAATATACCACATGCATATAAAATATATTCAAACGAAAACTCTCCCCCATATATTTATATGGACGTTTCGTACTTAAATCGAACGAGTTAGCAACGAGCTACAATCCCCAAAACAATATGAAATTTAACTTTTTTTTAAAGCTTTGTTATTGCATTGCACCCCTTATTATTGGAACCCTTGGCAGTTATGCGCTTGTCGCAGTGGGTTAGGCTAGGTTACAAATTCAATACATTTCCTTTCACAGTCAGAAGTGCTTAACTGCAATACTGAACACAGTCAGCATCCTGCCTGGTTTGTCCATCCCTAGCGGAAGCTACCCTCATGGCACAGATAATATAACCCCTAGTAGGGGTTATATTATCTGTGCTCATGGTCACGTGTAATCTCTCTCTCTCTCTCACTCTCTCTCTCTCTCTCTCTCTCTCTCTCTCTCTCTCTCTCTCTCTCTCTCTCTCCCTCTCCCTCTCTCGCTCTCTCTCTCTCTCCCTCCACCTCTCGCGCAACCCACAACCGATGGCAAAACTCCGCAGTATGAGGAATTCACGGATGGGGACCCTTTCTACCTGATACCCGTTGGCAAAACTCCTACACTCTTTATTGAGTTAGTGAGTATATTGCAGCGTTATTATGCGCCTAATGGTTACGGAGAAAATTCAAAAAATCTGTAAATTAAAAATTCCTATGTCATTCTTATGGAGAATAAGTAAACTGTTGTAGTTTGCTTGTTTATGAACATATTTTGATCAAATTTGGAAAATGCATTAATTTCATACTAAACTATTACATTTTACAAAAAACACCTTTTTACCCTTCCTGTGTTGCAGCAAACCTAAGTACTTGTTAAACTAATGTTATTTAAATAGGGAATAAATGTGATATTTTTAAGGAGACATATTAGTCTAAATCCAATCAGGCAAATGGAAATACGCTTAGTCTGCAGGTTTGCTGCGGCGGGGGTATATTATAGTAAGAATTGTTTTATTAGGGTAAGTAGCTTAATACTTCGTTTACGTTTTACTAAAAACTAATTTTTTGACTTGGGTCGTTTTTGCACCCAACTCCTCAATTGGTTGTCGATTTCTAAGGTGTGTTTAGCCTAAGATGTTTAATTGAAGTTTTAGTGCAAGTTGAAGAAACACCAAGTTTTTTGTCCAAGTCAAAGAAATTTCAATATTTGATGGATTTTTGCAAATATTTGTTTAGTTTAAAAATAAATTTTTCTTGTATCTCTGACTTCCCAACTGTCCCAACTCGTCACAAAGAAATTCCCAACCTTTCTCTTTCCCAGATTCATGGGGGGGGAGGCTCTCCCTTCTACCCCCCCCCCAAGGGACGCTCCTGGGCCTGGTAGGATTGTCAACGTCGCAAGTAGTGTTTTTTAGTAGACGTCCCATTAGATAACATGACAAATATGTAACATCAGATCCATTAATTCGTACTTTATTTATTTAAATCTATGATGATTGATTAAAATATTGAAAATAAAACTTACAGAATTGAAAACCAAAACAATATGAATTGAAAATTTGTATCTGTACATTTAAAGCGGAGTCAACATTTTCATAGTACAGTAACAAAGCTTTCGTAAATACACAAATACCATTAGCTGCTTCCGAACAAAACAGCTGTTACAACCCTACTTGCGACGTTGCAACTTCGAAGGCCGCGGCCTGGAGTTAAAGGCGGCCGTGATCACGCCCTGTCTATTTTTGTTGTACTCCCAAATCAACGGTGGTAAAACTCCGCTCGCGAACAAACTTTAGAGCACTCAGGTGACTACGTCATTATGTCTGTACGACTTTAGCTGTGTTCTGCTCTGAGGGCAATATTCCATATAATTCCGGTGACCCACTCAATCACCCTTTTGGAACAGTCGAAAAGTTGTTATTACTAATATCTATGGTTGAACACAGTCGATGAAAAGGACATTACACCCACTTAAGGCATCAAATGATTGCCCAGTCTTAGTATTACGATTATGAATCAAGCCAGAGTAATCTAGAGTCTAGAAGTTAGCGAAGTTAGCGTTATCTCTGGTATTTGATCTTTAAGTCACCCTCATAGATAAAATATACATGGTTCCATATTACATTATGTGGATCTCTGCCAAGAGATGTGAGCATGGATTTGAGATTTGCATGGTTTGCTTAAGCCCCCCCACACACTACCAGACCAGACCGTCTGGCTGCAACCAGACCGTCTTGGACGGCTCTACACACTCCCAGACCAGACGGTCCTAATTCGTAATTGAGAGACCGTGGTGAGAACTCCAACAAATGGATGAAGATTGTCACGATGGTCGGCCGTCTGACAGACAGCGCTACACACTCACAGACCAGACAAAAATAGTGGTGGGGGAACCTCAGACCGTCTGTGGTCTGAGTGTTCAACCATCAGACACGCAGACGGTCTGGTCCGAGAAAATCGGTCTGCAGACAGCCCCACACACGATAAGACAAGTGCCAGACGCCAGACCAGACGGTCTGGTCTGGTAGTGTGTGGGGGGCTTTAGTATGACAAGTGACTAAGACAACATTGACTAACATTGATGATTGCAATGCATGTTTTTAATGTTAAAAGCAAATAAAGACATTTCATTTCATTTCAGCACCACAAGTCGAACATCGGTTATTTGTTCAGAACCTTCCAAAGCCAAAGGTTCTACAGTACCGAATTACAAGATTATTATTCTTTTCAAATACTCGAATTTTAAAAAAAATAGTGTTTTTGTGATTACAATGCGTGATCATATACTATATTCTTTTTTTGCAATTAAAATGTTATCTTTAAAACGTCGTAATAATAGGTATAATCGTATAATACATACAATAAATGAAATGAAAAAGTAAAGCCTAAAAATGTTTGTTCGTTCGTTGGCCACCCTGATTTGGCCGTTAAAACTGTCCTTTCAATTTTGAATGAAAATGAACGTCTCCCTCCCTCCAGTCCAACTACTGAACTACTTGTCTTGTCTGTCTGTCGTACGAAGATACTTTTGACTTAAGATTAAAATAATTTTAGGAAGCCGTTCTTCAAATATATTAAAATTTTACTTTGTTGTGTATTACAGAGTGTATAGTGTGAAATTGTTTACTCTACCGTTATATTGTAAAATAGCCATGAAACCATTGTTTACAAACACCGGAGCGTAGAGACTAGACGCTTGAATTCAGTAATTAGACACACTTCACTTAAAATTATTATTTTTCAGGTAAGGACTAAACGTAGGCCTAGTTAGTGTTAAATTATAATTTTATAATATTCCTCAGTGACCAGTTATGTCATGGACAGTTTACTAACTTATTCTTTTTCATGTAACTGTCAACAAGAAGACACGATAAGTTAGCCTATTCACAGGCCAAATCTTAATCCTAATTGTCCACCCTGATTTATTCTTTAGCAACTTACCTACCTAGACTGGATAGTACGCAAGTCATGCCAATGGTGTTACACACACCAAACAAAACTAAAATAGCCTAATTACTTGGTAACTGCCTGTTGCCTGCAACAGACGCTACATCTGGGTCCTGACATCTGCGTGCTTGTAAATTTAATACAGGCTAGCTAAACCTAGACCCCATTACATCATACAAATATCTAATTTATAAGGCCTAAATTATAGGCTAGGGTACTCATAAGATATTTTTTTTTTGCCTTGACTATATTTTTGTTAACTTAGCAGCTTTAATTTTTTATAACAATTTGTTATAGAAGACAAATCATGTTTGAAGATTTTGATTCACAAAACAATCAGAAACAAGAAGAGGATGAAGATTCGGAGACATGTTACTCGTACCCTTCTTACTCAAGGTTTACCTACACCGGGAAAACTAAAAGGTAAGTTATTATTTACAATTGGTGGATAAGTTACGACCTAATGCTCCTTTTCAACGAATATGGTTTCCATTGTCTGGTTGAACAGTACGATTTTACGTTGTGTCTATGATGTTTCTTTCACATTACAGGGTTCCGCCATAAACAGTGCCCAATTAGGGCCTATGAGGTCAGATTATGAACAGTAAAAATTGCAATTAGGCCTAGCTGATCTATTTGCACTGGCTGGTGAGCTCCCGTTCGACTAAAAAACATGCAGTGTGAAGCTTGTATTTAACTACATGCACCACTGACGCACGGCCACACAGCATGACAACCGCTCAGTTCAGCGGCAGTGGACTGCTGCAAGAAGGCATGGTTTTCTTCAGTCGCCATGTATTCTTATAAAATACGCCATGTATTTACTAAATTTTTAACCGTGTATTTATCCACAATAAATTTCACCTGTTTTTCAAGGTTTTAACCATACAGAAAATCTGATTAGTGTGAAAGATGCATTAGTGCAGTAGGAGGTAGGCCTAGTTACAGTACATGCAAGACCTAATAAAATCAGACTAAGTTAGGTGTGGTCTTGTATTGCTGATGTTAAATGTAAACCCAAGTTCTTGGTCACTCACTTTCTCATTCGTAGCGCCTTCCTAAGTTTTTGGGAATAATCTGCCTAGTACTTAAACCAAACAGTTGATCAAGGCTAATATAGTTAAAAATTAGGTTTAATTTTCTTTACCTAATTTAGATCTAATGAAAAACGGAAAGAGTTTTGAAATGAATTCTATTACCTAGCTTTTCAATTGATATAATTACTGATTCATTGTTCTTATATGTTTTAAGAATGTATAGGACGCAGTTCAGCAATGGACGTGTGGGTTAACAATACTTAATTAGGCCTAATGGTAACCTGCCAGTTTTCTTAACATATCAGAGTCTGCAATGGATGGGGGAAAATTAATTTAACTTTTATTTAGAAGTTGAAAAAGACTAATTTAGGGATTTTCAAAATTATTTTGTAAATACTTAAAGAGACAATTACGAAGTTTCAGTTCATCCAGTGCATTGTGTGGATCTTTGATGAACTGAATATTTTACAGTTGATTTCAACTCGATAAACACTTTAATAATGCGACGAGGTTCTTTTTTGTAGGACCGTGTTTACGCCACTAGCAGGCGGGTGGAACGCTCTTAAAGGGTCAGTATGGATTTCAGTATAAATGGGCGATTGTGGAGAGTAACACTATGAATGTTTATACTATACTGTAGCTCTATTGCTATGTTGTGAGTGTAATACAGTGCACAGGGATCGTTTTCTGCGGTAGTTTGTACACTGCTAAGTGCTAACTCAATGTGTGTGTAGGCCTACATTCTATCATACTCCACTGGCAGGGTAGCCTTCTCATTAAAAGTAACACACTAGTGATACCATGTAGAATCATTTCCCTTGTAGTTTTTCTCCTATAACAGGTTCAATAACATGTCATCCATACTTAACTAAATAAGTATTTTTCAGGTATTTCCCATTAAAATGAATAAGCACTAAATAAACTGATTATTGGGGCTACTAACTGAAAAATAAAGCTAGTACTGGTAATTAACTTCCCAGGTTAATGATTTTTATTTGTTCCAGCCGTCTTGGACGAAACAGATTTTTGAAACAAACAGGAACTAAAGATGAAAGCAAGAAGACAGAAAACGATTGTAGCACGTCTTCAGATTTGAAATCAAATGATACTCGTTCTAGTTTACAAACAAACTCCCAGATAACAAAAACACCAGGCATCAGTTGGTTGCAGAGGGAATCTTATCCCTTCACTCCTGGTGCCAAGTCCAACAGTGTTCATGCAAGTTCCTCAGATATAAACTCTTTACCATCACAACCAAACTTTTTGTTTAATCTAAAAAATGACTCGGTCGAGAGCTCTAGCTGCAAACGAAACCTGCCATTTAGTACTACACCTTTCAAATCAAAAGTGATATCCCCAGAAAAACGGATTGAAAACAGTGCTTTAAGAGAACTTAATCAGCTTCGCAAACCAGAAAATCCCTTTTCAAAGTTAGATTTTTTCAATCGCCCAAAAGAAGAAAACAAGGAAAATAGTAAAACTGATGGTAATATGAAAAACAGTGAACTAACCCCTTCGTGGAATCAACTGAAACAGATTTGTGATGCTGCAATTTCACGTCCTGATTTTTCAAAACATACAAACTCAAGTAATCCAGTAGATTTGAGGAAATCCAATGAACATTTTAAGTCCAGTTTGTTTGCTCCTCCATTTAGTGTTGTTGAAAGGAAAGATGATGATTCTTCCTCAAATATGCCTTTGGATCTAAGTTCAGCTGAAAGTATGTCTAACAAAACTTTCAGTAGAAGTTTAATAAGTGGAAATGACAATGTTGATGGAGATTCTTCTGGATCATATGGCCGGCTGTTGTCACTCAATCTAAAAAACACATCTAAAGAGTCAGAGTTAAAAAAGGAAGACTCGATTACTCAAAAAACCAACACGGATGCTTTAAGTGGTTTCCTTCCTCAATTTTTAGTACCAACAAACAAAACAAGTAAACCAGGAAGCACTGAAGATGATGATTCTCATTCGATGGGCACTGTAATTCAGAAAATGTTTGATTTTCAACCTCAAACACCTTATCAGAAAACTCAAGTTCCTTCTCAAGCACCCAATAAAATGCCTTGCGAAAATAGTAGTGGTGACTTGAATCGTGGAAATGAGGTGCACTCCACATCCCTGTATGAATCATTGAATTATGATGTTAAAAAGTCATCACCACCAAGTCTTCCAACAAATTTTATATTCAAAAACACCAGCCCACCATTACAGTCAAACAATCCAGTCCAGTCATCAAATCAACCTAAATTTTATCACACTATAGAACAAAAGCTGTCACCCCCAACAGTCCCCGGAAGTTTGGTATCTACAGAATTGTCTCCTTCAGTTCCAAACGCCCAAAATGTAAGGAACTTGGTCACCAATGGTCAACAACTCTTGAATGATGACCAGAATTCTGCCAATGATAAGAAAATTAATCTACTGGCTCAAGGTGTAGACATGAATCTGCGTATCACTGAAAAACCAAACCAACAGTCAACCAATGAGGTGGCAGATAAAAGTGCATTTCACTTAAAAAATGCCAACGTGGTTAGCTATTCTAAAGAAAAATATGGTTTTAATCAAAGTAAATCAAATGCTAAACCTTTAGACCATATCAGCCCACCCAATAACTCACAAAAGTTTTCAAGCGATAATGTCCAGAAAAATAGTGAGCCATTAAGTAATCTGTACCAATCAGCAGCAAGACCTGAAATGAGACTGATGGCTCCTATTGCTTTAGAGAGAAACATGAGTCAATCATCTGTTCAACAAACTAAACCGATGATTGACCAAGAGCCAGCACCAGCATCATACGCAAGACCAGAGATCGTTCAACCTCAAAGTCAGAGAACGTATCTCGCCCCACAGCAAGTGAACCACAATGGCACTGGAAACTTTCCACACATCAAACCTGAAGTTCCACAACTGGCTGGCTCCAAACCGAGTTTCTCGACAGCTAAAAAACCGAGCCAATTTAAAATGTCGGGCCCGAGAGGAATGCCGTCGAGAGCTGACACAGAACTCTCTGTGAACGGCAAGTCTTACACTATCTTGAGCATGCTTGGAAAGGGAGGATCTAGCGAGGTTTATCAGGTAAGAACAAGTTTGTAAGACTTTAGTCGTAAGTTAAAAATATTGTTGACATTTTTTATATCAAATGTAACCACATATTTTTTCCAAATGAAATCAGATATTTTAATTTAGCAAAGTGAGGTTTGAGGTTTTTAATTTGGGAAGGTCAAGTTTCTTCTCATAAAAATGTATTACAAAATCAAATAATACCTAGACCACATCTAACATTTTTTTAAGTTATATCTTATTCTTCGAAGAAGTTATTAATACTTGTAGATGAGTGAACGAATCTATGTATCGTGTATAGCGGAGTCGGAGAAAAGTTGTCCGCTTGTGTGTGTGTGTGTGTGTGTGTTCGCACCAAAAACTCTAGAACCGTTGCACTTATAGTGTTCAAATTTTGCACAAATAATTATGACAACGTTGGGAAGACACCATTAAAATTCTAGACGATTCCGCTCAGTAGTAATTATAAAATACTTAAAAAACATTTTTTAATTTGTCCCATAAGAATAACATTAGGAGGTACCTTCTTCTTCTTTTTATTTGTTTACGTTTTGCGACGAACAATTTTGTTGTCTACCTAAGACAGAGAGAACGACTTTTACTCTAAGCTCTTTCATTCATGGAGTAAACAGTTTGGCGTCTATGAATATATATAATTATAATTTCAAAGCTTTCAGAATAATGTCATTTAAGCTAATTAAATTTCACAACTTTCAGATTAATAAATAATAAATTGAACTTAACAATATTAGTCGGCAGTTATATACCGTTTATGTTCAGTATTAAAATTCACCTTTAAATTAAAAATATATATGCATGTATTTAGAACAAAGCAGCCTTTTTACATTATTCAATTTAATGTTGGCATTGAATATTAAATATTCAAAGATGTTAGTAAAGGGGGGGGCAGTTCCACGACGTAGAGAGTGGTAAAGGAAGCGGAAAGGTGAGCAGTGAAAATAAAGGAGTACGGAAACCCTTTATAACAGTTAAATTAATGTATCTGTAATACTCAGTCTATGGTAATACTTAAATGCTATGGAAATATAGGGAAACAGGTCTACGATGTAGGGAGTAGTGAAGTAGTGAAGGAAGTAGTCAAGGCGAGCATTCCGGAGTGTAGAACCCCTTTGTGATAGTTAGAATAATGTACAGTATCTGCAATTCTAAAATTCTATTGGAAGGGAGGGAAACAGGTCCACGACGTAGGAAGTGGTGAAGGGAGTAGTCAAGGTGAGGAGTCCGGAGTGTGGGAACACTTTGTGACAGTTAGATTAATGTATCTGCAATAATAAAATGCTATGAGAAGAGAGGGAAACAGGTAGCCTACACGACTTAGGAAGTGGTGAAGGAAGTAGTCAAGGTGAACAGTCCAGAGTGTGGGAACTCATTGTGACAGTTAGATTAATGTACCTGCAATAATAACATTCTATGGGAAGGGAGGGAATCAGGTCCACGACGTAGGTAGTGGTGAAGGAAGTAGTCAAGGCTAGCAGTCCGGAGTGTGGGAACCCTTTGTGGCAGTTAGATTAATGTACCTGCAATACTAAAATGCTATGGGAAGGGAGCGAAACATCTCCACGACGTAGGAAGTGATAAAGGAAGTAGTCAATGTGAGAAATGCAGAGTGTGGGAACCATTTGGTGACAGTTAGATATATGTATCTGCAATGAAACAGTTGCAATACTAAAATGCTTTGCCCCGTTTAACTTTAGATGACCCCGTTTAGTTTTCAAGATGACCTCGTTCGCATGGCTCAATCACGTCCTGGTTGAAGTTCGTTCGCTACGCTCACTTACCTTTAGGTTGGAGCTCGTTCGCTGCGCTCACTTGCCTTCAGGTTAGCTCGTTCACTACGCTAACTCGCCTCAGGGTTGAAGTTCGTTCGCTACGCTCACTCACCTTTTTAGTAAAAGAAATAATAGTGCTGCACCCTGTTGGTAATCCTTGTAACTTTAATGCTATTGAACATCATAGAACAGAACCAACTTGTTTAATTGAAACAGCTGTTAAGATTCATTAATTCCATTTCTCATAAGGTTAACATGGGAAACTCCAGAGCCACTGGGGCGGACCCCAGAGGTCGGAGGGTAAAATCCTTTCTTAGTGAGCGTCTACTACCAAAAAGGAAGATGCCTGCCAAGTTTCAGGTTCCTAGATCTTATGGTTTCTGAGATTCCGGGATGAGTGAGTGAATGACTGAATGAGTCAGTGGTATTAACGATATTTTTTTGGAGATTCCTTACACTGTGCTTTGGCAATTTATTTAAGTGTAATTAGTTCAGTTTGGCTTAGTTTTGTTTATGATAGGCCTCATAACAAATATGGAAATAGGCTTCATTTAATCAAAAGACGTTTTGTACAGGAACGATGGATTTACCTCCAATCGATAACTGTTGGAAATCCATTACGTATATTACCAAAGACTTTGGTTAATTAATGGACGAGAAGTTAGGATTGTTGTTGACTGAGATTTGGTTGATTTGCCCATACAAATAACATTATTGTGTTCACCAGTGACACCGGTAAGTAGGCTAGGTGTGGGTGGACTCTTTCATTATTGCGCTCATGTTCACTCATCCCGTTACGCGCAGAATTTAAGCGTACAACTAGTTTATCTTTAAACTCGTGTAATAGTCAACCTTGGTTTGTGTTGATTGCAGGTCCTGGATCCCTGCAGCTCCAAACTGTTGGCCGTCAAATGTGTAGACCTCTCCATGGTAGACAAGACTATAGCAGACGGCTACCTCAACGAGATAGAATTACTCTCCAGGCTACAAGGGTGTGCCAGTGTCATTCGCATGTTCGACTAGTAAGTACATAGCTACTTACTTATTATTATTACCTTTTTATTTAATTATTCAAATGTCCACTCTAGTAAATTGTTTTGTTTTAATCAAACTTTTCTTACTTGTAAATATACCTTAAAGAAGAAAGAATAGGTAGAAACATGTAACTAACTTCTAGGGGTCTCAATCCCGGGATCCCGAATCCCCGGATCCCGGCTGATTTTTGATACCTAGAAATCCCGGGATTAAAAGTCAACAATCCCGGGATTAACGGGATTGCAAAACCTATATTTATATTTGTTTTTTGCGAATTTGGAGACTTTTACTTACGGAAAATAAATAAAAATACAGTACGTCCAATAACACTTGAAACACATATACTCTTTATTTTTAGGACGATAAATATATATATATGAAATGGTATAAGTACCTAATGATCTATTTTGATTGAAAAATTAAATTATCATTTAACTCAATAGGCGAACGAATGTAAATATATGTTTCAGTTTTTAGACAATTTGGATTTACTTTCTGTAAATGTTATTACATTATTTAGAACTTAATTACAGTGCCTATAAGTTATTTTGAGTTTAACTTTTGACATTAAACAAACAACACAACAGTAAACAAGGCAATTCGTGTAGCAAACATAATATTGCAATCGGAAATTGTATTATTTTCATTGAAGCCATTAAATATAACTATAAACACACCATTACATTATTAAGATTGCTTATATTTAGGGTTTTATAACTTTATCTTCGTATTTGGTTATTAGTGTGGTGATTAAATTTCTTACAATCCTAAATTACGTTTTTCATACACTCGCTAACTACATAAGATGATGGTTTATTGTTTTACAGTATCATTACCTATTGTTTTATTGCTGTCAGTAAAAATAACATTTTTACGCTGCTACTCGTGATTCTTCCCATTTTATCTTTTTTTTTTCTTAGCTATCTTCAATCTATCTATTAATGTGACGTATAGGCTACATGCGAGTGCGGTTGCGAGTGATTAAAAATAAATGTATTTATTATATTCTAGATTTGAGTTGACATATCAACATTTATACACTGTAAATAAGAAAGGCGGGTGACGAAAGTTATGACGAATTTCCGCAGTGTAACACTGGTAAGGCCAGTTTAAAACATTAAAGTACTCATCGAGGGGACTTCTCGCTCATTTAAAATGGCTGAAAATTTAAAAATCATAATATTATATAATCCTGGGATTGATCCTGGTATTCCGGGATTGACTGAGACGAATCCCGAAATCCTGGGATTGGATTGAAGACCCGGGATTGAGACTCCTACTAACTTCCCAAGAAAAGAGTTCCAGTCAGTTGAATACACACTAAAAGTTCATAAAACAATTAATATGATAGTGGTTTAAATACCTTATTCTTGCAATCCGATTGTTGTCTTCACAACTAGTTTTGACCTGCTAGGAGGTCATCATCAGGTGAGTACAAGGATGAAATTACTTCATATGACATATGGTCGTCAGTAACAGTTTTAGTTTTTTTACATTCACACAAACACATGACGAATAAACACATAGTGCGCACACATATACGGCCGATAAAAACATCAAACTCGACAAGCGGACCCGTTTTGAGAATAGACTGTGATACAGTCTAGACGCAACTTCCGCATTCTCAACACGGGTCCGCTTGTCGAGTTTGATGTTTTTATCGGCCGTATTTGTGTGCGCACTATGTGTTTATTCGTCATGTGTTTGTGTGAATGTAAAAAAACTGTTACTGACGACCTTCATATGAAGTAATTTCATCCTTGTACTCACCTGATGATGACCTCCTAGCAGGTCGAAACTAGTTGTGAAGACAACAATCGGATTGCAAGAATAAGGTATTTAAACCACTATCATAGTTATTATTCGCAATCCGGAGGCTACTCACACCACAATGAAAATAATTAATGTGATATTTCGCCCCCAGAAGGGGATAGTTTTTTTACATGGTTAATAACTTCATATAATACGAGCTAAATAACATATACGAGACAAGAAACAAACGAAATATGGACTGAACAAAACACTTGACACTGATATACCAGGAGACGATGATGACGTCTACATGGCCGCAAGAGATGTTCATGGATTTGCCGTCATCGCAGATGACAATGAAGCCGTTTCCGTGACTGCGAGAGTTCATGATGATGTTTATACGGCCAAGGGAGATGTTCATGATTTTGCCGCGATGGCGGGAGATGATGATGACTTCTACACGACCGTGAGAGGTGTTCATGATGTTGCCACAATCGTGGATGATGATGATGATGTCTACACGGCCGCGGAAGATGTTCATGATCTTGCCGCCATCCGTAATACAATGATGATGTCTACACGGCCGCGGAAGATGTTCATGATCTTGAAAAACAGTGATGATGTTTCAGTAATTGAGAAAGATATTTCCGATTTGGCAGTGATCTCAGAATACGACGATTATCACAATATTACTTTGAGTTTGGCCGGACTGAAAATATCAGGCTGGCACATCTCAATATAATACCTTAATGGTAGTTATTTGATGTGATAAGAAAGGTTTACACTTGGAAATTGGCTAGTTAGAATGTTTCATTGCTGCGTACATTTTTTTACTTGAAAACCACCCTAATAGCCTACCTCAAAAATACTTAATAGAGAACATAAAGACAAGGGCTGTTGTAGTATAACCAATCCATTAAGAACACTTGGTGAAACTATTTAAAAAATAGTATTGGTATTGAGAATTGTTTTTTTAGGTATCAGTATCGAGACTCGATAAATTTTGGAATCGACACATCACACAATTCATTCAAATATTTTCAACACTTCTGCTACATTATATATTAGTTTGATTTTAATGTGTTTGGCTATTTAAGTGTTTTTTTTTTGTACAAATAAGTTTTATTTTCTTAACCCTTTGGCTGCTAAGAATTTTTTGACATGTTATCCGAAAACTGCTAAGGTTTTTTACATGTTTTATCCCTAAACTGCTAAGCCTAAAATGGTGAATTTGTAGAGTTTTACTAAAAATATCATAACTTCCGCAAAATTAAAGTTATTAAATTGATCTTTATTTTATTTTGTAGGATATTTTATTCTAAACAAATAAAAAAATAAAACATTAAAAAATAAATATAAAAGTACGCCCAAAAAAATTTGACGAATTGAGACTAAAAAACATAAATAAAAATCCAACTCTTCCTGTAAACTCTATTTTTAACTGAAAGTACATGTTGTATTGAGTAAATCCTGAAAGTTGCAAGCAAAAATAATGAATTTTACACAGTTATCAATAAAACAAAAAAAAAACTTACCGTTTTGTAGATTGGCGTCAAGAAACTGCGTAACTGTGGGTCCGGCATATATATGCCAAATAATAATTGTAAAATATAAAAAATCAGTTTATGAACACAATAACAAGAACTACAGTTAATATTTACACTAAACTTTAACTTTCTCAGAGAATTTTGCATGTCCTGAGTGGAAAAAAAATTGTTAGAAATGAAAATGAAGGAATAAACGGATTTTGACGATTTGAAGATTTTTTGTTATAAACTCCACGTCCTTCTCCAAGATTAATCCAAACATTACTATCAAGGAAGTATTTACATTTTCTTGGGACACTTTAGTGGCACACGTGATTGACAAAGCACTCTGCGTGTACCCCAGCTCCGCACCATACACAGATTGTGCGCGATCTTCTTTTCTTCATTTCAGGATGGTTTTCACCTGAACAGGCTCTGCAGAGTTTTTCTTTCCTTCCAGATAACTTCCTCAGACCAAAGCCAACACGTGGACCATCACCACCACCCTCGTTATCCTCAGGACCCTGATCCTGCTTGCTGGCAAGCCATTCATTTGACCACTCTTCAATTACCGATCTCATGAAATTAGCCCTACTCATCCTGCCTTGAGTTGTGTTTAGCTTATACAGCAAATAAGCATTCAACACCATGCGGCCCATCACATTGAAAATAACTTTTTTTGAATGTTTCATGGTTCTCCGTTCGTCAAGGTACACATATAGCATTTGGTCGGTTGAGTCTATACCTCCCATACCCATGTTATACTGGTGTGCAATTTTTGTCTTGTTTTTCACAATATCTCTTCCACTTCTTCTTATAGTGTATGTCACTTTTTTTGCTTCACTATCAGTACTGAGAATTAGGAACTGAGATTTATTTGTGGCCTTCTCTCTATGGGCCATGATGAGAATGGGCCCTTTCCGGACATAAGTTTTTTGGCCTACAGCGTACTTCCCCAACAGTTGTCTTGGGAGGCCCACCCTATCTTTCCTCAACGTACCAGTGACTAAGGTTTGGTGTTCATACAGTAATTTGGCAAGAGACAAGGAAGTAAAAAAATTATCCAGGTACATGTGGTGACCTTTGTTCAGACAATTTGCCATCCGCAATAAAGTCATCACTACTGTACTGCCCAAGCCTGCTTCAACGACTCTTTCATTGTCATCATTCCTTTGTGCACCCTTGTAGCAATAGAATTGCACACAGTACTTGGTAACAGAGTCGCACAGCACCCACAATTTGATGCCCCACTTGTGGTGCTTTTTCTTCGGCAAATACTGAGTTAGGGCAACTCTCTTTTTGGTACCGACGAGAGACTCGTCGACGGAGAGCGACTTTGTCGGATAATAATACAGCTTGAACAACCGATTTACATGATCGATTATCGGTTGGAAACGCCCACAAGGATCGTAACCGGGTTCCCCATGTGCCACCAATTTATCCACATCAACCAAATGAAAAAAATTTAAAATAACCTGAAATCGATCCCTTGGCATAATTTTTGCAAAATATGGCGTCGCTTGGCTGAAGTGGGTGTCCCAATAACTCTCTATGCTTGGCTTGCGGATTAGTCCCATATTTAGAATGATTGCTATAAAAGCCTTCAATTCTAGAACGGTCAAATTTACCCACTTTCTCACTCGACTAAATGGAGACAATCCTTGCTGCTGACGCTGATCTGCGATGAACTTTCTGGTATAACGGTTTGTCTCTGTGACAAAAGTCTCTAACAAACCAAGAGTGAAAAAAAGTTTTAAATATTCAATAGGCCTTGAATTTTGGGGCGGGCAATGTTTAGGTCCATTCAATTCTGAATATTGAAACTGGTGGTTGTATCCCTCATCGTTCTCTTCTTCAACCTCGTCCCAGCTGCTACTATCCCCTGCATTTTGCTGAGGAGCAGCCTTAGGCCTACCTCTTCCAACACCTCTCCTGTTACCCATAGGCCTACGCCTTACCATGCGACCTCTTACACCCCTACCACCAAAAGGCCTAGTCTGTTGTATAGGCCTAGGTTCATCTACCTCTGAGTCAGAGGTTAGGCCTAAGTCAGGACGATCATCTCGGATTTCAGGAAAACGTCTAGCCCTCCTACCTGTTGATGTGCCCGGAATTGCAGGGTCATACGTCGGATCCTCGTCTGTATCGTCAACAAAAGCAGGAGAGGAATCAACAGACGATAGATCATCAATTGAAGAGTCACTTTCATTGTCCTCACTATTATCTAAATTAATGTTCAGTCCCGATTCTCGGGCAAAATTGAATATCGTGTTCTCACTAACTGGGGATTTCGGTCGATTTTGATCACCCATAATTCGTCAACTCACTAAAACACCAACTATAAAATAAACTTGTTCATAACAAACGTCGCATAACCATAGAAACACCAAAGCACTAAACTTCAGAACATCAATAACAGCCGTCTGCTCCAACTACGCAGATAACTCTGTTCCAGTGCAGTCTAGATCACAGCTGTTTTCGTTATTCGTGTACTATATAAAACTCGACAAATACAAGTGTTGTTATAATTTTTAACGAACAGTACACTTATTAAACCGTCATTTGCCGCAAACCGCATAAAAATAACGTAATATTTAGCGCCGTAAAAAAAAAAATTCGTAACAACGATATATCGTTGCATAGCAGTTCTCGGAACAAAAGCCAACAACGATATATCGTTGCGTAGCAGTTCTCGGCATGAATGCCAACGACGATATATCGTTGCATAGCAGCCAAAGGGTTAATCCCTTAAGTTTTGTACCAACCTATACTAATGCATAATACACTATACAGCAGAACCCCAGTTAACCGAAATAAAGGAGGTGAGCCGTTTCGGATAACCAATATATCGGTTAACCCATCATATGATAAAAATAGCATAGGCCTATGTATTACCACGGTGTGTAGGAAAAATGAATTTAAAATGATGTCTATATAATGCAGTGTTTTGTTTCAGCTACAAAAATGTTACAGTGGGTTAGAAAATACTTTAAACTAAACCACTGAAGTTACTAAAGCATATTCTATCCCTGTATTATTTTATGGATATGGAACTGTTTCGGTTAACCCGGGTTTTGGTTAACCCAAATTCGGTTAACCGGGATTCTACTGTACTGTAAAAGTGGAATACTGTATGGATATTTTGTTTTAAAAATAAAAAAATTAAGTAGCCTATCCTAAAAGTTAAAATAAGGTACTGATGGTACCGGACCAAGAACCGAGAATCGATTTTGGCTAGGAACCGGTACCGGTACTGACCCATCACTAAAATTAATAGTATTATAAAATATACTTGTGTGCTATAAACTGCCCGAAACTCTTTCATTGCTTAAGTTAGTTGTTTAGTCAGTCCTCAATGTATGTCAAAACCAAGCGCTCTTTCCTCTAAAAGATTGACTGTAATATTTATAATTCTTCATCACAATGATTCATTGTGGGTTGCAGTGAGTACGTGCAGGAGTGTAAGATGTTGTATGTTGTCATGGAGAAAGGGGACACAGACTTGTCACATCTCATACGAGACATCTCCAAGACCAAGAAGATTTCCATGTCCATGATCATCTACTACTGGACAGAGATGCTGCAGGCTGTGAAAGATATTCATGATCAAGGTGTGTCATCAGGGATAGTTCAAATTTGTTACAATAAAACTGTCTATCATTGAAAATGGGAAGAGATTTTGCATTTTGTGTACAGCTCGTATTCAAAATGAAATGGCCTCGATTGATAGAAAAACTACATGTTTTAGATTAAGCCTATTGCATAAGGCACATTAGTTTGACAATATGAAATCGTTTGATAGCAACTAAGGAGAAAGAAACACACCTCAATTGAGTTTTCAGTTTAACGCTTCTGTAACTTAGGTTTGCAAAACTGAAACCATGCTCACCCATGAGCTTACGGTGCCGTGATAAAAAAGTAATATAACAATTATATTTCATTAAAACACTAGGAAACAATATTCAATTTGTTGTTCAGGCATCATCCACAGCGACTTGAAGCCAGCAAATTTTCTGCTGGTGTCTGGCAGGTTGAAGCTGATAGACTTTGGCATAGCCTCGTCCCAAGGTGACATGACCAGTGTGGTGAAGGAAGTGACCACTGGGACCTGGAACTACATGAGTCCCGAGGCTATCAAGAACACCAGCGCGTCTGGCAAGGGCTTCAAGGTGTGTACTTCTCATAGGTAGAACTTAAGGTTGTAAATGATTTGCGTAGAGGAAATCATTTACAATCATTAAATGTTTCATTATACATAATTTAAAAATGTTAACCGAGAACTTGTTGTCTATTGATGTAACGATAAGTTATTGGACTGTTGCAGCTTTCTGATCTTCCACTTTTATCTTTATTTTATTCACTTTCTTTTATCTCCATTTTCTTGGTCTTCATACTTCTCTTCTCCCGATTTTACTTCATATATGCCATACAATTTTAAAATAACTGAAATTTGGTATTTGGAAAATTTAAATTACTCTTGATCAATGCATTTTTCTATATTTTTCTGTTTATCTGTTATCTGAAGAGCCATTTTGTATTTTTTTTCTCACTCTTAAAAAATACATGATCAAATAACTACAACTCAAAACTTACAAACAATCCACTTTTTTATGCCTTACTTCTTTCACATCTCTGACATCAATTCGAACATGTTGCAGATCACGTACAAGTCGGACGTGTGGTCCCTGGGCTGTATCTTGTACAACCTTGTGTACGGCAAGACTCCATTCTCACACATCACCAACACGTGGGGCAAGTTGTCCGCCATTGCAGACCCTAACCACTGTATAGAGTTCCCGGACGTCGGGGCGCCGCTGGTGCTGGTCAAGGCTCTGCAGTCATGTTTCCACCGAGAGCCAAAACTGCGGCCAACAGTAGCCGAGTTGCTGAGTCTGCCGTACCACTCTACGGGTGATACGGATCTGACCAATGTGGGACGACAAGTGCAGACAATACTTCCAACACAGTGGTGGACAAAGGTCGCCCATGTGAGTATTCCAATCACTATACCTATGCAGGAAACATATCTAGTGCCTCCTAGGCAAAGGATTTTGAATAAAAGGAGGCTTACCCAAGAAAAGACTTCCAGGCAGTTAATGAACAATTTAGTGCAGTAATCTTTTATTCTCTATAGCCCCTATTACACCTTGGACCTTCTGTCTTGTAATTTTATTTAAAAAATTTCAATCTTGTTCAAGTCCTGTTTCAGTGGTCAAACACTTTTAGGCATAGATTCAATCTCACCTTCAGGAAGTCAAATGCAAAGAGTGTCGGTTTGTAACAATTTGATAGTTTGTAGATGTTTCTGTCCACTATGAAGCAAACCACCAAACTAGATAAGCTATTCGGAGGTAGCACTAGTTCAGAGATCGACTACTTAACTTCAAACATGCCGTAGGTTTGCAAGGTTGGTAAGGTGGTTGTATAGTGGTCACAACAGTCCAAATCTCATTGTTATTTTCTATTCCCCTACAACAAAGGTTTCGACACTGGTTGCGTCATGATCACATAGATGTTTTTGCTCAGAATATCCAATCTCAGAAGTCTTTGCTTGGATGTCATCAAGGGGGTTATGTACACACAAACACATTCTATACATATATTATGAGTTGATGTAATGCTCTCGTGGACAGGAGCCAATTGAACTTAACTCTGAAGTGATATCAGAAGTTTCAGAAGACAAGTTTGTTTGGGAGGAGTTCCCACATCCCTAAAATGTCGGAAACAAGTCTGTACTATTTAATTGCACCGTTGCGGGAGATGGCTAGAGAACACTCTACCGGAAAAACAATGGTTCCTGTTGTTCTGCTGTTGGTTTCTAAGCTGGTTAACCATGTGAGGAGCATATAAGTTTATGACCTTTTGATTTTTTCTTACTGCTTACTTCCATCGCCACTTCTTTCCTAGCTGGCACTTGGCCTCGCTAACACGTCACCAGTTCTTTTGGTCCTCCGAATCTTCCTCTACTTCTGGTTCCTACTTTTGGTCTTACAATGGTTTATAAAAAAACTATAAAAAATGTCAATTTTTAAAAATTTGTACCTCTGTACATGTAATGATTTTATTAGATTATCGCCAAAGGAACAAAATAATGTTGTTGAGCTTAGCATTAATTGTGTGTAGTAAAATAATTTCAATGTGATTGAAGTTGTCAATGTGGTTTATAATTTGCCTTTTTTATTTCAGCTTTTCCCAGGTGTCAAGTCGATCCAAGAAGGAAAACACCCTGATAATGGATCATGAACCATCCATTTCAATGAAATAAATGGTTTTTACTGTGAGAAGATCAACAAAAACTTTGTACATATGTAGTTTCAATCTTCGTGTTTTAGGATTTAAGATTAGTGAAAACTAACATTAGCTTCATACTGATCTCCGATCTTTTATTTAAATATTGAATGTAATGAAAGTCAAGCTATAATTTAGGGTTTTAAAATAAAACATAGAATTATTTATAAAATGTGATGTATATAAAATCCTATTCTTTATCAAGTCTTTCTTCAATACATAATTTATTGTGTGTGATTAAAGTGAATTCAAACATTTTCATTCAGTATCATTTTAAGAATAACATTTGTATTCTATACCTATTGGAATGGAAGTTTGCTTGCAACTTGCAATCCCATGTTGTACAGTTTAAAGGAACCTTGATTACCAATTCTTTTATAAGAAAAGTACCCTAAAATATTAAAAGCACTTTTAGTGAGTTTGCTAATATACAGGGTGTTAATAAACGTAATCATGCAAAACTACAAAGAGGAGGGTTTTTTTTTTTGTAGTGTACAGCACAAACGTTTATGATTAATATAGTATTTAAGTTAATTTGATAATATCCCCAAGTCTTGCTACTGAGGTTTCAATCTATTTGAAAACAAAACCCAAACTTACTAATTTTGAAATTAAATTAAACAGCAGAAGTTCATATGGTTTTTAACTATAATGTATAAAACCTATAACATTTTAATCCCAAAAACAGCTTCAAAAACACACTTGTATTGCTTTTGTTTGTATACACAATCTATTCATTTATTGCATGTTTGTACATTTTTTTTTTCAAAAGTACTTTATTTTCTTATTAATTAAACTCTACTCAAGGTATTTCATAATTAGGTAGCTTTATAGAATATTATGGTGGTAGGCTGGTTCTAGCTTCAATATGAAGATCCCTAAAAATGAAGAATCCTTCATAATCCTATACATTGCCTGTACATATCACATGAGAATCTCTTGAGATCCTACTGTATCTCAAGTCTCTGAACACTCCAAACTTAAACGTTTTTTTTTTACAAAAAAGTTCAATACTGTACAACCTCAATAGCAGTCTATTACCTTGAAAGTGTGTGATTAGAGTTGCTATTGGGTTTTACCACTTAGTCATACATTTTGTATAGCATATCTTTTTATTCAAACGAATACAGCTGCCAAAGAAACTGTTCATCGCCTTTACAAAACCGTCCTCACAGTTAATAGTTAATTATTTTATTTTCAAAGGTATCTGTCAAATGCATGCTAAGATGGGATTTGTAAACTACGATTGTATTGACTCAGTATTAATTCAGCTGACTTAGTTTAACAGACCTGTTCGTTAATAGCATGTGGAGCCGATAGTAAAGTTAGCTAGTTGATGTCAGCTACAGTCCTAGCTTAGGAATTCTATTGTGTGCAATATGAAATGCCAACTAATTAGATTTTCAGAGACAAAAAAGAATGTTTAAAACACAATTGTAAATATGTTCATATGTTTAAAATATATATTAAACCCCTAAGTTAAGTATATTATAGTTTGTTAAATAAAAATTATATGCTGCAAAACAATTTATTCATTTACCTACGTGTTTATATCTCACTGCAGTCTACACTCACATCCAGGTTAAAATACAAAGCATTGTGTCCCTGTCTCGATAAAATAAATGTTTTTGTCCTACATCTCGCACACTTTAATACCATTGGGGACATAGACAAGAGTGTGAGGCACTCCACTTATGCTTAGAAGTACAATCTCTCTGCCCACATACCGCATGTAGGCCTACTTATTGACCAAGGTTTTGTCTATCATTTCAACTAGTTGCCTCTATTCATTTTTTTCAACTCAGCGAGTTCAAGTAAGTAATAGGTCGTAGTTCTCATTGTTCTCAATAACTAGTGTCTTTTATACAGTAAATTACTTTTAACAAATGTTCACAACGTCAACAATATCAGCAAAAATAAAGTTAAATTAAAAAAAAATACAAAATCCAGATTTATCCAAGATTTACAAAACAACACCTAAAAAACGAGCCTTTGAAAACCTTTGCATTACAAAAAATGCATAGTAGGAGCCAGCAAATAAATCACGTGAAGGGTGTTTTGACAGTATTGGCTGTTAAGGGTGTCTTACACATGTAGAAAGACATCTCATTCCCATGTTTTAGCCAGTTCAAGAATAAAAGGGGATAGGCCTACAGTTGAAGCTAGATATGTGCGATAAGAATAAATTATCCTGGCTGATGAAACATCTGATCTTAGGCTACGGCCACACGGGCGTTTTTTCACGCAAGAACGCAGCGTGAAAAAACGCGAGAATTATGGGCAGCATTAAATGTAATGAGGTATGCCACACGGAGTGTTTTCACACAGATTAGGCGCGTCTTCAAAATCAACCGCCGCGGGCCCGCAGAAGAATGGACTGGGGTGCATTTTTGAAGCTTGTTTTCACGCTCTGTCCCTGGCCACACGGGCGGGAGCAACACGCAGCTTTGAATAAGTCGATCTAGCAAGTTAAAATAAAGTTAAATGTATCTAATTTTTTCCAGGATAGCGTAATATTTTTGGGTCTAGCCAATTATACATTAGGATCTTAAACATAGGTCGACCTTACTGGGCCACTTAATAATTTGTTACTAAAAGGAAAGGCATTTAGTTGGACTAAAAAATGTAAAGAGGCATTTATGTATATAGATGCTAGTAGAATATTCAAAGATCTAGTGAAAATCTTGTCATACAAATATTTATATTATATTTATTTTTTATACTAAATGTCAAAATAAAATAACTTTTGTGTTGTTTTTGTATCGAAATTAATATATTAAATTTATTTTTATAATAAATGTAAATAATTAAATGAAAGTTTAACAAAATAAAATAATTTTAGTATTGTTTTCGTACCGAAATCAATATACCATTCATATTTCTTGTTCACTAGTCAGAAACAAGGTTATTATTCCGGCCATGAGGAAGATATATAACATAATTACGTGAATTCGTCAATCAACTGCGGGTTCCCACGGCTTTTTGCCGCAACCTGCGTGAAAATAAGCTAAATTTTTCCGCGTGATAAAAACGCACGTGTGGCATACAACAGCGGGAATTCAAGCAGTGAGAAAATAAGCTACATTTTGCCGCGTGAAAAAACACCCGTGTGGCCGTAGCCTTGGTCAGTAACAAAGCTATCACCCAGATTATCTCACTTCATTCTTCGCTCATCACTCTTATTTGGATAAAAATATGTACCTAGGTGGCGTCCCCATCTCAATTGATAATGGATGTCTACTTCATAAGCCAATGCCACAAAGTGGATTGCAGCTGCAACTTATCTAAAGTCATCATAAAATTACTATCAATAAATGATAATTTTGATAAAACTACTTACTCTTTCAATACAAAAGCAAAATGGAACAAAAAATGGCATGGGAGAGTAACAAGACATTTCAACATCAATTGTTTATAATCTTAAAATTGTCTTAATGTTACAATACATACAGATTGCCAATGATAGAAAATAAAACAAGATTTGACAACATGTGTCAAGGCTTACTGAATAAAACAGAGCGAAAGGACTCGCATTATATTTACACACATCACATATTGTAAAAAATATCATCTGGACATTTTATTATTAAAAAAAATATTGAAAATACAGTCAAATACTCCGTATACAGTGACGTGCAATTCTGCACGAGGTTGCATCTAAACAAGATGTATAACAGGAATCAAAACTCATACACACCACAGGCAGACTGACATTCACTCTCTGAGAAGCAACCATAGAGGCGTGTCTTCAAGCACCGGTAGCTACGGTAGCACCAATACTGATAAAAGGCATAAATGAAACTGCGTACAAGCTTAAACGAGATTTATCTAATAGCTGCACGTTACTTCAAATAAAATGTGAGCGTGCTGTTAACTCTAAACAAACAAATCGGGTGGCCAACTAGAGAAGCTGCCGTTCAAGACTTACTGGTTAATAGCTGACAGTTTACGTCTAAATCAAAACGGTTGCTTTTTTGTTTATGTACAATATTAAAAAAAGTCTACAGTCGAATAGTAAAATTGATAAAAGCGGTATGACAGTGGGTTGTGCCAAAAGACCGTCGTTGCATTATTATCACAGATTTCCCCCGATAAACTGCCAGCCGTATTGTCGTATGATGCGTATACTCAACTGAAGACAGCCCGTTGCCACCACAACAATCTCGCCTACAAGTACATATCACACATCAAATGTAATAATTATTATCCGATAGCTATACCTAATAAATAAGTATTAGAATAATTATATTGTTTTATGTGTTATATTTAAAAAATCGTATACATCGATGGTGGATCGTATAATCCTGGTATATCCGAGTTTAAATCACGTGTACCGCTGACGTCGTCGTGCGGCAACGCCGACGCAAACGGTACGGTAAAAAGGCAATTAGACAGTGCATATAAAGTCAGTAAACAATATATCAAACTAATACAACAACCAGCCATTGAAATATTCGAATCGTACGGATTTAACTGCCTAAAGTCTAAGTTGAAGACTAACAATTCTGGCACAACGTATTCGTTAATAACTACAAGCTTATATCCTCGACTGAGCAATTTCGGACAAGATCCTACGATGAACACAATTCTATACTTCAATGGCTACAGACTTAAACTAGAAATGATGTGTATGCTGTACGTATACATGGTGATTGCAACTGTAAGCTCTATTGCGAAAGACAACGGCACGACCGATGACCGGGGCGTGCCGCTACCACTTAAATAACACTTGAAACTGTCAGCTCGTGTCCACTAACAATAATCATGATAACACGCATTGTAAACATTTCAAATCACTAATAAAAACAATATGTTTAGGTATTAAAATAGAAAAGCACATTCAAATCGAGATCTAAGCACATGTATAACTCGAACTGACGCCAAGTCTTTCAAAATTTTCAAACTGACAGTTCCAATAAAACCATCTGTTGTGACGCTCAACATTATGAGAACTATTAAAATAGTAATAACTGAATTGTACGACTGAATGTTAGATAAACTCTGGATATCTATTGTGTGCATTTTGGGTGTCCACAGATTAAGTTTTTAATTATCTAAACCATCATAATACGGTTTGCAAAGTTTGTTGAATTAAAAACCACCACTAAGCAAGGTTGAAATAAAACTGCTTGCAGTCAACAAACAAATTTTAAAATGAGACACTTAACAAAATATTTTATTATTTAAAATCTGATAACTTGCACTCCCTTTACTTAATGTATAGTTTCATCTAACTACTAAATATGTACTGTTACATTAGTTCTTGCTTATTAATCAGTCAAAGGGAAGATTAGCACCACATAAGCTGTACATAACATATCTAAACCAACCTCTTTTCCATTCTAATCTGTGGGCACCCAGAGCGACAAAAGAACCTTAAACTAATATTTACTTAACGTTAGGCAAAAACAATTTTTAAAAAGCGATAATGAGAAAGTGTGTATGATATGCGTAGCAAATAAATCAATAAGAAGTGAGAATTCTGGAGAGATCCTAGAGCTTGGGTCTCTTGATGTCGAGATCGCTCGAGTCTCCGCTGTCGTCCGGGTGGAGGGGCTGGAAGTCGGGGATCTGCTCTCGCGGGGGGTTCCACCCCTCCCCCCGCAGCGGGGGTGAGCCAGAGGATTTGGGAGTCACACCCCCGCCCGCCACGTAGCCTCTCTGTAACACCACCACAACATTAACATGAACTGCTGGTAAAGGTGCAAAACTATATTTACACTATTATGACTTCACTGAAAACTTCCAATGGTGACTTTTGATTTAAAAGGAGAGATGAAAGATATAGAAAACCATTGTGAATTAAATTAAATTAATGAGATAGATACAAACTCAATACCTTTCGGCTATAAAAACACTAAACTCACAGAACTGAATTGAAAACACGGTGTCTGTGATATGTGAGTCTTACAATCCGAATTTTCGAGACTGAAATGAGGAATAGGCGGTTCGTAGAAAGAGGTACACAATCAATTCTGCCACTACAAACTGGCGAAAAGATATATTTTTTATTTAAATACATGGACACAGACAGCCATCTCTCAAATTGTAACCACTGAAGATATTTAAACAGCAAGTTTCTATTGTTGATATTCATCATTAAAATTTAGGTAATCTCAGTTCAAGTCCACTAAAAAGCCTGTACTGAAAGGCAAACACAAGTACAAATAGATGAATGTTCAGTGTCACTAAATTCAAGCACTTGCTAGGAAAAGAACCTTTGTTTTACACATGAATACTAGAAGAAAACCCTTGAAATATTTAACTAAGAGAAGTACCTACTAACACAAGAATTCAACTTCAGCAAAATAAATCTCAGAGTAAATATCAAGATACTTCAATTAATATCAGGAATAAATTAAACAAAATGTTAAGGTAGTTGACATTTTAACTATTAATTTTTTTGTTATAACATCCAACACAGAATAACTCAAGAGGGTATTGAATCTAGACCTACTGAATGACTGAGATCTTATTAATGGACTTGCAAACTGTTGGAATATTAATTGTAATAAAAAAAAGTCATAACATTTTGAGGAAGTACATTCATATATAAAGAACGAAATACAATTTCTATACAACATCAAAAACAAAACTTTCATAGGTGCTACTAAAAATAACTAAAATTAAAACTACATAGGCCTAGTAATAATAAAAAAAACATACATCTATCTATCTATCTATACTATTATAAAAAAAGAGGTGGTGTCTGTGTGTGTGTATGGGAAAAGTAAACGCGAAAACTACTGGTCGGATCGGGCTGAAATTTGGCATGATGATAGCTCACATTCCCGATTAACATATAGGCATATTTTTATCCCAAAAATCCTTTCGGGCTCCGCCCCAGTGGCTCTGGAGTTTCCCATGTTAACCTTATGAGAAATGAAATTATTGAATCTTAACAGCTGTTTCAATTAAACAAGTTGGTTCTGTTCTGTGATGTTGAATAGCATTAAAGTTACAAGGATTACCAACAGGGTGCAGCACTAGCACTATTATTTCTTTTACATTTATGACAACAGCAAAAGGTAAGAGTGAGCGTAGCGAACGAACTTCAACCTGGAGGCGAGTGAGCGTAGCGAACGAGCTAACCTGAAGGCAAGTGAGCGTAGCGAACGAGCTAACCTGAAGGAAAGTGAGCGCAGCGAACGAGCTCCAACCTAAAGGTGAGTGAGCGTAGCGAACGAACTTCAAAAAGAACCGAAATTTCTTAAACCATGTCCTCACTCATAACTGCTATAAGCATTTGATACTTATATGCCAACCCCGTACGAAGGACGGGTACTCTGCTAGTCAGTGTATAAAATTATTCAGAATACATAGATTAAAAAATGTTGAAAAATAACAAACTTTGACACTAGAGAACTGAGAAGTGATTTTGTCTGCCAACCTGATTTGCACAAATAAAATAGTTAAAGAATGAATAATAGTAATAGTTAAGACATTATGCATTAGTGATATAACAAATTAAAATTTGCCAATGATTATTCTGTTTTTAAGTTTACCATTATATAGTTAACATTTCTGTAGAAGAATTTTATGAGACAACAGGTAGTTCCACTCTCATACGACCAATCACAACGGCTTTAAGGACTGTCTGTTTGACCAAAACCACATAAAACCTTGGTTACTACAGTACTCATAATGGGACACCTTTTCATTATGTCACTGGTTATGGCCAATAAAAGAGGTTGGACATCTTTTAGTAGCCATTTCCTTCCCCACAACACTACTGACCAAAGGGCTTCAAGATGTGAGGTTTTTATATCCTACATTACCTCACTTTATACATCTTTGATTTACAGCCTATCAAGTTTAAATTATTTTCTCTGATGCTTTATACGATCACAAGGTGTAATATATTTTTCACTTTATTAGAACAATTCGTAAAAGTATATATCAGTGGTTGTTTGAATCCCAAAAATATCTATTTAATTGTAAATTAATGTAAAAATGCTTTGAATTCATCTGTCACTTTTTGTTAGCTGATATAAAATATTTATCAATTAAACATAACATTTATATCATGATAGTTGTATTATTGTGTTTATATTTCAAAAAGTAGTTTTTTTCGAGAAAAATTAAAATTTACACTCATACCATTTAGCTAAGCCATTAGATTTTTGATGAATTTTAAAATGCTTCGAATCTGTCCCACACAAATTTTCCCCTGATTGAAAGGAGCCTTTAGCACAATTTTACATGTAAAAGATTAGTTTATAGTCCTTTTGTGAACAAAGACATTTAACCACTAAGCATTTGCCATTTAACCGAGCTAAATTAAAAATACCGATATACTTTAAGTTTGTAAATCTTATTGGAGAAAACAAGCTAAAACTAAACTTTTGAAATAATAACAAAAACTACGGGCTAAACAGTTTTGTGACAACAGTTAGCATGCAGCAATATGAGCAATATTAACCTGGGATCAGGGGCTCACCTGGTGCATGGCCTCATATCCGAGGCTTCCATCAGAGTAGGGGGCCTGAAACAGACGACGAGCCACAACGGTAAGTCACTTAGACACAAGCTGTCACATGTGATATATACAGATATTATGTTATACGTCAAAACATTACCTATAAAAATGTTAGCAGGTTCACACTGGTGCAGAAAGGACAACTCGTACCATATTACGCATACAAAAAATATATAAATGAAATGAAAGCGAGATCAGAAAGGACAGGAAAACCCCATAGGATTATGCACATCATAGTTTTCACTTGCCCTTTTCCTCCAAGCCCAAAACCAGTTGGCCTAACATTCATTCTTGAACTAGGTTTGGAATGGACAAGAAGCCGATTGTACTTCCATGAGGTAACATATTTTTATTAAAAACTGTAATGTAATCAGACTTTTCTCTTGTAAATTGTAAAATCTGTTCAAGTCCTTTTTATGTAGGCCATCATTTACCATAATTTCAGGTTTACAATTTCTATTACACTTCATTGTGTTGATTTTATGGTAAACACCTAGAGGGAAGAGCTACAACCCCAGTTAGAAATTTGTGAGGGGATTTACAAATAATCAATTAGATGTAATCCATCCCCTAGAAAATGTCTTTTTAAGCTTACTGTTATTATTCTTGTAATATTAACCTGGGAAATAATTACTATAAAAAGGTTACAATTTCAAGTGTAGTATGTTATTTATTTTCATACAATCAAAATGAAATATGTACCAATAAATAAATAAAAAACAGGGAAATAAGAATGTTTCAGTCATAAATTGTGTGCCTGACTAAACATTTTAATAAATACAATTCTAAACCTAATTAATAAATACACTAGCCTGTATTTATAGTATACCTTAGCAATAGAGTAGGGCCCCTGAACGCCAGGTAAAATACATTGCACTCAGGGGCACTCCCATAGTGCTAAGTATATAGCATTTATTTTCCTGGAAAACAGCCTTCTATACAAAATACTTATTTTATGGAGAATACTGTGACAGATTACATTTTCTATTCTTTGATCATTCACTTCCTCCTCCGCTCAAAGCTGTTAAAGGTATTATTGATTATTGAAGAACTTTCATCACACAGGCTGAAGAGTCAGTGACATCTGAGCAATAAGTAATCTGAATTAATTAATTATTCATTCATTGTCCTGAGAGTGATAGCACATATAATTGCAAAATTACACTTATAACTTAAAAGCTAATGATTTGAAAGTAAGGTTACCTTACTTTTACAAAAACTGAATGTGACTGATGGTTGTTTGTACCTGTGATGCAGACATGGGTGAGCTGTAGTCACCACCGTTCATGCTGATGTTGTAGCCCATGCTGTCCTGCGGGGCCCCGGGGGGAGCGGGGGACATCATGGGGGTGGCAGTGCCTTGTGAGGCGGGGCCCATGCTGTACGGCGACGCTCCTGAAAACACACAACCTGCACTCACTCAAGGATCAGTCTCCAGCCCCGTACATACCACATTGTCATCAGACAGCAATCTTTGTCATTGACTCTTGGATACTGAAGTAGACACACAGTAGAGTCCCGCAAACTCGGCGTAATGTGGACTGGAAGGGTGCCGAGTTTGTGAAATGCCGGGTTATCGGGAACTAGGGTTAAAAATGAAAACAATAAAATTTGTAAGCCTTTTACCTGCCTTCTTTATATTTATATTACAAGTCAGTATTCAGATATAGTAGAACTAATCCTTGGTACAAATTGCGGATGATTTGACTTGAGCTTGCTTGAGTCCATGTTGAACTCGGATTAAAAAAATCATTAATTTTCTGAGCTAGGTGATGGCCGAGTTATCCAGACTGCCGGGTTATCTAGTAATGAGTTTGCGGGACTCTACTGTACCATCTTTGTGAACCACCTGTGGCTGATTTTTCTTTAAATGGAACACAGTTGAATGAGCCATTCACACAGTGCACTAATGCCGAATGCCAAAATTATATCTTCTCTAAGTTTTTAATACTATGTCATTTTCTTAGGACATAATATATGCTAGAGTTTATAGTGTGTTTCCTTTTTAGTTTGACTTGATTGTCAGTGTGTATGCCAGAAGTAAGTAATTAGCAGCATCATCTATACATGGCTCAATTCAACTACCTACATCAATTTTCTGTCATTATGAAGGTTTACGAAGGTGATGTCACACCATTGAGTGGCCGCACATTTTTGTTTATATTCACGATTTATCCGTGTTGGCGTGTGCTGAATATTGATATTATTATATTGACGGTGACAATGTGTTTTACATTTATTATGAAGACAAGACAATTTCAGTATTCAAAAGTCAATGCTACAATGGACAAAAATATTAACAATACAAGTAAAGGCTTGTTGACATCTTTCCATTTTCCAAGACCATAGTCCTTCTAGCTTACAGTAACCTTATTGTAATGTATAATCCTGAATTAATCATCATTAAATTAAGTATTAAGTAAAATAAACTCAAATAAAATATTTATTCAATGGTACCTGTACATAATAGTTAAAAAAAAAGAACTTATCAATTAACAAAGTCCAGTTTGATCTCAGCTTCTGACATTACATTTTTTTTTTATTCAAGGAAAGCTCTTTGAAAATTTGATGTTCAACCTCGGATAGGAATTCAAAAGCTATTGACAGTTAAAATGTAACACCACAGGGAACAAAAACTGAAACTATTGGCGAGGCCAAAAACTTTCTTAGGTTGATTTTCCACATAGGCAAGGAGGAAGAATTTAATGTGCAATTAGTGCACAAAGTATTCAGGCTAGAAGCCACACAACTACACTCTGACCACTAGAACATTCCCACCCCAATAATAGGCTTTTTCAAGTTTTTATTAAACATGAGTTTTTGTTTTGTAATATAAAATATAAGTTAGCACTTAAAATATTGATTAACTTTTTTAGGAGTTTATAGTTTAAAAATCTTTATCCTTATTTTTCTACCTTGATATATCTATCTCTATGTACTGTAATTATTCTGTAATTTAATGGTACTACACATTGAAAAATTCACCAATTGTATTCCAGAAAATTACAAATTAATTCACTATGGATAAAAAAAATCAAATCACCCCTATATTATTAAACTTTTCCCATTTTAACACAAAAACTAATAAAACATAATGAAAACCAAAACCGGTGATATTTCCCACCCCAATAATAGGCTTTTTCAAGTTTTTATTAAACATGAGTTTTTGTTTTGTAATATAGAATATAAGTTAGCACTTAAAAAATATTAATTAACTTTTTTAGGAGTTTATAGTTTAAAAATCTTTATCCTTATTTTTCTACCTTGATATATCTATCTCTATGTACTGTAATTATTCTGTAATTTAATGGTACTACACATTGAAAAATTCACCAATTGTATTCCAGAAAATTACAAATTAATTCACTATGGATAAAAAAAATCAAATCACCCCTATATTATTAAACTTTTCCCATTTTAACACAAAAACTAATAAAACATAATGAAAACCAAAACCGGTGATATTTCATTAGAAATGTCAAGTGGCCTTTATACGTGGGGGGGGGACATTATTCTGGGTTTTTGATATCGTGTAACGACACACATTAACGTAGGTGCTGAGGTTATAAAGCCCATCTGCGCTCAGTCTACGGTCTACGTCGGGACTAAGAAAACCCATTGAGGCTGTCACGCGCAACGCTACACTGGCTGATATATTAACTCCATTTCAGCTTCCCCCCCCCAGAGCTCTCTAGCTCAAAAGTCACCCCCACACCCCCTAGCTCCACTCTAATAATTGTTTGAATATTCATTACACGCCTCTCTCCCACTCCAGCTCCCAACTCTTGCTACATTTAACTCTCTTAAACACTGCCCATTAAATTACTTTATCCAAATAGTTTTTAAATTATCGCCCCTTTTTCAACGGTTCAAGAAGAAAAGTGTGCCTTGCCTTTTTACCAAAAAATTCATTTCTATCAAGCAATAAAAGTTAAACAATAATTAAATTATGATTAGAATATGATGGAATACTATTGGCAATTAAATTGGAATTATAGTTTTGTAAATAAATGACTGAGATAAAAAGCCAAGATGCATGAAATGCTAGTTTACATGGTACTTACAAAAATGTATATAAAATACATAAAACGTTGAAACTAAACAAAAGGAATTTTTAAACATGATTTAATGTTTTCAAAGCATAGTTTTATTCTTAAACAACTAGTAAATTTGAATGTGATTAAATTCTTTGAGGAATTGATTAAAGAATAATTTATATTCTATAATCATTGGAAATAAAATAATGCATTAAAATCCTACACATGGTTTTTTATACCGCCTTTTACTTTAAGGCCAAGATAATTTAAATCGGGGGTTCTTTCTTTCAATCATTCCTTACTTGTCAGTGAATTAAAAAATCTGAACTCATAAAACATTCAATATGAATGATTATGAAACTAAATACATTTATTTAAGTATTATTTCAACTGACAGTTTCTGAAATGATTAAAACAGAGACTCACCTTCAGGCAGTGGCAGGCCACATGCTGAAATATAACAAATAGACATTCAGTCATTACCACACATTGCAATGTGTGCTAACACCATCAATACTATTTGACTCTAAACAATTGAGGCTTATTATTAGGGTGATGGACAAAAATATGAACAAACTCGGGTAGCTCAAAAAATCCCCCCACTAAAGAATGGGGGTCCCCTGTTAGAAAATTTGAAAAATATACACAAAATCGAGTATTTTGTCTCAAAATACAAGTAGATTTTCTTTGGCTGAAAAAATTAAATTAGACTTACTTTACAATACAGTTTTATTTTATTTGCAACAAGCTGTTACCCAGGGTATATGCTTCTCTTAAAAATTATATCTAGAAGACATTAATTTATGTTAGTAGTAATCTTAAGATTCTTATTGTTATATCTGGAGTCCACTTACTCACAGACAAGGGGAGTAAGCCCCGAGCGGAACAGAATTAACACCTATAGTTTAAATTGTTAAATTACTTATTGATGTGGGGAGAAAATCCAATATTGATAGTAATTCACTCTAAGTACAGACATTTTCTCTATCTTTCTTTATCAAGGCATTGTTAACAGACTTGAAAACGCATTTTGTCTAATCATAAGAGTGTATAAAACCTACTTATGTTGTGATGGAATAAATTACATAAAAAAAATCCTAATAAAGCTTTAACAATTTTAATTTAACCCTCCAACTGGCAGCGCGACTGTAGTCATGTTTTGCAAGGTTTTGGTTAACTCCAAATATATTGTTAAAAACGATTGTAAAATGGAATGATTTTTATACCCTTTGAAAGATAAGATTCTAAACTTGCACTTTGTTACAACTGATGAACTTTATCTCACAAAGAGATCACTGTAATTGAGCACTAAAGTGAACAACAATTTTGAGCAGTCAGTTGCACCATGTACACGTGTCTATTGCAATGCTATAAATACAGCTTTTGTATTTAGTGTACATTATTGTTTTAAGTAAATAAGCCAACAGTTGATTTTGCGGCCCTAGGGATGTAAAAACCTGCTTGGTCCCCAAAATGACGTTGACAGCTGGCATGGCCAGCAAAACGTAACTTTCAGCCACCGATTAACATATGTAAAAAAGCTAAAACATCATAGTGTGGTGAAAATATTTTTACATCTCCATGTAGGGAAATAAATTCTTAACATTTTGTATACCTATCTTGAATTTCACATAAAGAATTTTTGGTCCATGCAGCTAAGTTTTACTTTCAAAATTTCAAAATTCAAAAACCAGATTTTTTTCCATCTAATGCTAATACATAATGAGCTAGCCTAAATATTTATTCTGTTGCCATTTTTTAATTTTTCATTTCATTACGAACAATTCAAGTATACGGTTCAATAGGTTTGCTCTGTTGGTTTAGTTGATATGATTTTTTTTAAATATGACTGCATAATTACCAAAAATGCTTAGCCACTACATAGTTTGTCCATTGCCAGTTGGAGGGTTAATGTCTCCGTGCATGTGTTTGTGTGAGTATGTTGTCTCTATTGGGATACTATCGGAGGGAGTTGGGGGAAGTGTAGTTGATCAGGAGATCAGAGGTGATCACGTCAGATTGTGCGGCACCGGACGGCCAGAGTCAGACGTCCGTTCCCAGTAATTGACACTTAATCAATATCCTCCTTCACTTTACACTCACTCCTCACTCGCCGCGGCCAATTACTCGCACAGTCTTTCCTTGCAACTGTATTTTATACCTAATCGAAACTGCTTAAAAGCAAGGGTTTTGCTAAGAACAGTGTCATATAATAATTTTGTATTTTTGTAGAAAACCTTGCAATAAAACCTTACCATGACCCATTCATTTATAGAAAAGTTACGAGTAAAGCATAGTTGATAAAAAAAAATCATGGCTTTAATGTAAAAAACCTATCAAACACTAAATATTGGCCTACAAACAATTAAAAACACAATTCTTCTACTTTAGTTTTAGTAAGGTATTATTATATGATGTAGTCTCTTAATTTCAATCTGGAACTTTTTCAATATTAAAATTTTTGTATGTGTTTAATCTTAATTTTTGAATATTATAAGATAAGAAATTATAAATACACGTTTAAAAAACTTTTTACTGCGTGTTAAGAGAAGCCATAATGTTTTAAAGCTTGAGTAATAAAGTGTATAAAAGATTTAAAAAACTAAAATTAATCCCAAATGTTCCTATTGGGTTATAACTTATTAGTTTGGATTTAAAAATTTATGACTAGAAGGAGATTTTTTTGACATCACACAACAGTATGTAAGCTTATTTGCCAAATATGTCAAACAATATAGCACACCTCACTGCCGCCTATTCTTACACTTGAAGACCTGTAAGTAACGCTTGCTATCATGAAACAATTCCAATAATATACTTACCAGCAGCTTTCTTGGCAGCGTAGAGGTTAGCTTCTTCTTGGGCTTTTCCAATGTTCTTCTTGTATCTTATTCTCTTGTTGCCGAACCAGTTGGACACCTAAAATACAAAATAGAAATTTAAATAGTTATACAATGTAATACAAATTAAATACAGAACATTGTGAAATCATCAACTAAAATTTGTATAGTACATTTTTATAGGGATCTGGTTTGAATTAATGTATAACATACAGAGTAAAGAGTGCAATATTTTAAACTGTCTTTCATTTTTTACACCTTTTTTATGGTATGAAGACTTGTTTTCTAACATTTTTAAAGACAGAACTACAACAGACTAAACAATCACGAGGTTAGTTGAATACAGTAAAATCCCAACCACTGACTGAAACCAGACGTAGCAAGGTCGGATGATAAGGAAAATAATTCTCCTTTGTTAATCCTAAATGGTACTAGTATGAAACTTGTATCTATAAGTTTATCTTTCATTGGAAAACCATCTTTTCTACTTTTAGCCAATTAACAGTAGCTGAAGAAAATTATCAACAGAAAAAAAACTACTGTACATTGAGGCCACAAACAGGGTTGTTTCCACGCCGAACTGTACTGTCATACCAAATGGTACTCAATCGTCCACATGGAAGGTTGGATCATCGCAAGAGCAAATAATCAGTACTCTAGCTAATAAGAGTTGCATTTTATAGTACAACCTAAGGCAGTACCTGAGAGACCGTGATGCTGCATTTCCTCGCCAGCTCCTCCTTGGCCTCCTCTGATGGGTAGGGGTTGCTCAGATGGGAGTAGAAGTACTCATTGAGGATCTCCGACGCCTGCTTGCTGAAGTTTCTTCTCTTTCTCCTGCAATCAACAAACATGCATTAGCTTCAGTCACTCATGAGAGCTTTCTCCCAACACTGCCAGAGATTGGCAGTCTGATAATGCCATCTATGAGTCAATTAGATGATAACCTGTTTTATCATTAAGAATTACAAAAATGGCTGTCTTCTAGCTAATCCATTTGTAGCAATTAATCACTGAGAATGTGTAAGAATATTTTTGCCAAAGGTCAATTTGACAATCTTAAGGTTGACAAAGACTTTTTAATTTTGTCTTTCCCTTCTTATCCCATTGTAAATTTTGAAGATCGTTTTTTGTGTCTAGTTCATGTTTGGTGACACTGATTGCTATTGTCGACGGAATTTTGTTTCTATTATTTTATTTTATTTCATTTATTATTTTAGGGTTAATTTAATGATTTGTGCTTTACTGTTTGGTTATATAACTAGGGGACGAGTTATTGTTGTGCATGTAACACAAGTTTACTGCTGCTGCCATTATTATTTTACACTACAGGCATACCGTTCAGGCTGCTAAGAAATAATAAAGGTCAAGAATGAATCCTTGAGGAACCCCATATTTAGTGATTTGACAAATGGAAGTATATTTGGAATTTTTATTATCTTTCTAGGATGTCATTTAAACATAGGTAGTGTTTACTATTAGAATAAGAATAAGAATAAGAATCTTTATTACCCATTAAACATTTTACAGTGCAATAGGGTTCGTCATTTGCTACAAAATATTAAAATGTAATTAAATATTTCACATGAAATAGTAACAAAAATAATTTTATCAAATGACATATAACCAGTACTACAAATACTACAGACAGATGGGAAGATTATTAAGAACATAACAACCTAACAGGCTATGTTACCTAGCGTCCAAGAACCTAGAGCGCAGGATCATGACTGCTTCACAAGTGCTCTGTTTCAGCTGCATCTGTATGGAAGAGAACTTCTTGTGTATGATCTGTACCATGCGCTCAATCTCCTTGGGAGTGATGGGTCGAGTGCGTGACTGCTCTCTCAGAAGGTTCATCACATGGGTCGTGAACTCATTACAGGCCTGTCAACACAATGAAATTGTTACAAAAAGAAATATAGTAAAACCTCAATAACAAGACTCTCATAGGGACGGTTAAACATCACTTGTTATCAAGGTTGACTTCTTATCGAGGTTTGCAATAACATGTCATAAGGGTTTAAATAAATTCAAGAGGTTTTGAATATGATACTTGTTATCAAGGGTCTTGTTATCGAGGTTCCACGGTAGTATTATGGAGAACTTATTGTGATTTTTAGTAGGCCTGATTGTAAATTTGTTATTTGAGGGATTATTGCAGGCATATTCCATCATAAATCGTCTTCACAATGTTTTGCTATCAGGAATCTGATATCGTCTTCAGCTGAGAATTTATCAACAGGTTAACACAATCAGTACAAAAACCCAGAAAAAGCTGGAAAAACAAACAGAAATTGACAATTAGTAGATAACTAATTTAGGGAAGGAGGACACAAAGGAACAAGATGGTGGGCCTTGCTTGAGCAGGTTCTAAGAAAATTCACATTTCAGATCCAAACAAATTGTGAGAACATGCTTTTGTCTAAAACCAAAATGGGAATAAATTTATCAAAACTATTCAAAACTTTTAGACTTAAAGTGGTAAAACAATAGATGTAGCTGGCTAAATTAACATTTTAAATTATTCACCATCAATCTCACAGCTACTTACAAAATATGACAAGGTTAAACAAATACTGAACAAAACTATCAATTTATATCCCAAAACCTGTACTTAAACCTTCAACAGCCAACCTAACACAATATCCCACTCCTTACAACACAAACAAAGCAAATCGGATTAACTGGACAATTTCTCAGCAACAAGCTCCATCTCCCGTAACGAGTAGTGGGATTGTTGGGAGTGATGTGAAAGAAGCGAGTGGTACAGATAAGGGGTGCTTTACGGTTGTTTATCCGTTGGTATATTGGCGGCATAAACCAGTGGCCCCGTGTATTTGGCAAATGGGAACGCGGGCGCAGCACAGACAGTTTATGTGGACAGCTGGCCGTAACTCCACCTCTCTGCTTTATTGGAAACTCTGTATTCTGCACAAATGCTCAATTTCACATATCTCCTTACTAGCTTCTTTCAGCCGGAAAATTACAAGAGATTGTTGAGGTTCCATTAAACAGCTGTATCAACTGGTTTTAAAACTCAGTGTTTTCTGATTCTGTTTCCGTGTTTAAAAATGTATTTAGTGTAGTCATCTATATAAAAGTGATCATGATTTCTTGACCCTCTTAGACTCATTTTACAAATTAAATAATAAATATATATATTTTTAATACAGTATAAATAATTGATTTAAATCAAATAACTTGTATTTGAAACACCAATTCAATTTAGGTCAATAATAACCATATTAGTAATCAATATCATTGATGCATTATCATCACTATAATTATTACAACACATTGATATAACCATTCTTAATACCGATGATAAAATGATTTATTTCTTACACTTTCAATACCTCAAAAAATAAATTGAACCGTAATCACCTAAAAGTAACATTTTAAATCGATTGACACAATCATTTTTTGTAAAAGAAAAATCAATAAAAATCTTCATTGAAGAAAAAACAAATTAACAATACATTGTTTGTTAATTCTTATAACATTCATTGTAATAGCTAATTAAGAAGTACAATGTGAAGCTAACGCTTGTCTTACAAAGTTGTGCAAATAACCAATGATTAATTGCGCCAATTCCCAATTTATTCCAAAATGAACTTTCCCTTAATCTAGTTTTAGTTTGCGAAACTTATCTCGCTCCATGAATAAAACTGTTTCTTCATCATTAAATAAGTCAAAATTTTTATTTAATCAATAGCGAATCAACCTTAATCTTTTTAATAAGGAATAAAAACTAAAACATGATAGACACTGTTAAACATACATTTTTACACTCGGATTAATTTTGAATAAAAATCTTAACTGGGCATCTCAAATTGAAAATTTAAGTAAAAAATTAGACCCTTGCATTTTCTCAATAAGAATAATCTCACAAGTAACGAAACTAGAAACCCAGCTAATAATATATCATGCATATTTCTCGTCATTAATGACATATGGGATCTGGGGTAGCTTATTCAAAAAAGATTTTTAAATTACAAAAAAAAGTAAAACGAATTATTGGCAAAGTTCCCCCTAGAACCCCTAGTAAAAAACTGTTTCAAAACTTTGAAGTTCTTACTTTTTACGATCACTATATTTTGGAAATAGAATGCTGGGTCATGCACTCAAACACTCATCCTACACTCATCTCCATTCATACTTGGCTTAAAATACCTACTTTGTATGGTTGCTATTTCATTGAAAAGTATTAAAGGTATTTAAATAAATTTTCAAAATAAGTTGTACAGACAGGGTGACAGGGATCACTGTTTCATAAAATGGCTCCGTGACTTAATATCAACATTTGTTTCATCCTCTCCCTTTCTTATGTATGTATGTATAATTTCTATGATGTATCAGTGGTATCCGATACTAATGTGCTAGTTTTTACTTAAGTTTATTGACAACCTTTAAATGGTTAATGTATTTAACTTGTTGTCGGCGTAAAGATAATTTCACATAAAAACCAAAACTAGACTTTACAGCAATCAATGATTACTTTGCGCAGGAATTTAATCATTATGTATATAGTATTTAAGATCTCAATACAAATTCATTTTCAAGCCACGTTCCAAAACTTTGACGTATAACCTTCCAATCACCTCTTTTAAAATTTTACTACAATCTTAAACAAAAATTTTAAACTTTGCTGCGATAGCACTATGACTCCCAGACAAGAGTGTCCGCGGGTCAAGTGTCAGGCCAGCGTAGTTGGTTTGATTGATGCTCGTGACTGCGGTGCGGCCGAGGTTATTAAATGGTTGTCGGATGGCAGGTTAGGCCAGGTGTATGATTATAGTGATTGTACCCTAATGATACACCTTTGCGCCGCTTGCTCTAACCACTCTGACTGCCCTGCCTCCGTGATCCTGTGATCAACAGGTATACCAACCATACTACACTCCTTACCTTAGCACACAACTGTTTTTAACATGATTACAGCCCTTTTTAAATAAGGAATCGTTGTATTAGCTAAGATTTCATGTAGTTCTAAATGTAATCAGTGTTTGTGTGATTGTAAGGTTAGTGACTGATACTGTACACAACTTGGAGCTTCTATTTTAAATAAAGATTGAATTTTAGTTTTGATCATTGGGCTTATAATAAATGGTCCTGGCTAATGAAAAAGCTTGTCCAGGTCAGAAACAAATCATACAAGACATCTCACTCCATTCTACACTCATCATACTGCATTCATTATTTACGTTTTCATTTCAATTTTCCATCAAATACCCATTGGCTTCCTCATCTTAATTGGTGGGATCAATACCCACCAATATATAGATTGTGTACAAGCAGGGATAATATAGTTGATTCTGAGGTATAGTTAGTTATTTACCATATTGTTTACTTTGTTGCCTGATCCAACTTGGGTTCGATCCTATGATTTAGAGAGATTGTTGTTGTGCTCACCTGCTCGTACTTCTCCAACTCCTGGTGGTAGATCTGCCTGATCTGAGCCAGCTTGGCCCGGTAGTCGCTGTGCTCTATAGCGTTGTCAGGCTGGCCAGGTCCCCCCGCCGCGGCAGCGCTGGCGGTGGCTGCTGCCGAGGCACCTCCACCCTTCTCTGGCCCCGCCACACCCTCTGCTATCAGCATGTTGTCCAGCCTCATCAGCTGCGGGTCTGGCGGCTCCTCCTCCTGCGTGTTGCGCAGACTCAGCACTGCAACAGAACGTACAACATTCAATAAACATACTTTACAATGATGTACGATTAAATGTATTTAGGAGGAAACACAAAGTTTTTTCAGAATACCAGGCTCTGTCGAGGAGATTATCAATGGACTATAAAACAATCATACACACACTATTTAAACTAGATGGTTCGATTTAGTCCAGGCGCAGAGAAGTAGAGTACAGACGAAACATTCAATGGTACACTTAAGTGGTGTCTATCACTAGTCACAGGTGTATAGGTCAAAGTTCCAATACCGTGCTTCTCGCTGTCTTATACCTTCACGATGGTGGAAGAGTCTGAGGCCTGTGCGATAGAAATTTCCGCACAAGCTCGACCCAAGTATATTTCCAGCACAATATACTAGAGCTGAAAACGCACCGTCCTTCCATAAGCAAGTTTCCTCTGTCAGTTCAGTCTATGATGGTAAAAAAGTGTAAACTGTGCATTTATGCCATACAGCACCGATTTTCATAAACATTGGGATTTCGGTTCTATTTGTCCTAAATTTCAAAGTCACCCCTACACCAGGGCTTGCGTTTTCCTTGGAGGGAGATGCATCCCTTTTTGGGGATGAAAAATCTTAATTGATTATAAGTACGGAAATTAATGCATATACTAATTCTAAACAACTTTTTCCCACGTGACTACTTAAATATTAACAGTTTATGTTCTTATAATATGTTTTGAGTGTTTAAACCAGTTTACAGTACTATTGTGTAAATAAATTGAACTTGAAGTGAGAAAATAGTTTTTGTAATTGAACAAAAAATCTCAATTTCTTTAAAATAGGTACTTCAAAAACTACAAATGAAGCAAATTTTAGTTGAGTACAAAATTGTAGGTGTTTGATCATTAGTATTGTTAATATTTAGTTGTAAATAATTAGTTCTGGGCAATAATATTATTTATGAATGGTTGACAAGGTTTTAACGATTAATAGATGTTCAAAAAGTGTTATCTGATGATAGTGCTTGAAAAAAATTTTAATACACAAGTTTCTAACCCACACTTTCACCTTTATTAAAAATACATTTCTTTTATTCACAAAAATTAAAAACATGGGTAATAAACAAAATTGCTTGGAATCAATTACACTTGCTGAACTGATAAATCAACAATAAAAAGTGAAAAGTAAGTCAGGTTGTAAGAAAGGACATTGGCGTGTCCAGCAGCATTTATCATGTGTTCAAATTAAAGCAGTGCCGGGTGGTGAGGGGTAGATTTATGGGGGTGTGGTAACAAGGTCTGACCACTGTACCTCCCCTCCTACCCTACCATGGCTGCTGCGGACACTGGAGATGGTGACTAATATAAAGGGTGGATAATTAAACAAGTGTAATGGGTAGTACCTATCGAGTAAGTGATTGCAGTGCAATTGTGTAACAGGACAAGAAAGTACAGTGTACAGATATACAGAGTGTCCCACAAAGAGGTTTAGCCGTTTATATTGTTTCGAGTATTTTGTGGAAATTTTGGCTTTATAACATTCCTACATAAAACTGGCGGCATATTTAACACTTATAAGAAAATAATTTGCTTTCTATAAAAATTACTGTCCCAAGTTAGTACTTGATTCTTTTAATTTACTGCGTTTGCAGTCTTACTACTTCTGAAACATTACGAATAGCAATATTCCGCACTCAATGCTTCGCATTGTGTTCCACATTAAAATCATTCCTCACACTTCCGTCAACTTTTAAGGAATTTTCCTATGGCTCAAGCAATATTTTCCAATCAAAAACCTGTTGGACAATAAGTGTCCAAACTGCACAGTAGAAAAATCTGGTAGTAACTCAAGTAAGTATTCTTATAGGAAGCAAATCAGTCATGTTTTTGATATGACACAATTTCGTTTCTACAAAATTAATGTTATGAAGGTGATATTTTTACAGTACCTTATCAAAACCTACTCTATAAATTATGTAAAATTTCAAGACTTTCTGTGCATAAAAAGGCAAGTAATATAAAATCAATCGTCTTCATTCTGTAGGTGAGGTGGTACAGTAGGTGAAGGTGACCCCAGGTACAGCACATATCTCACGGCCGTGTCAGTCCCTGAGGCGCGGCGGCAGAGTTATGAACCTCCCCAACCCCGGCCACACATTTCATTCTATTGTCCCGCGCTTTTTGTTGTCCGCCGCTTTTTACAATTTTACATTACCAACACCCAGATGGCGCGGGCATTTGTCAAACACTTGGATTCTACTAGGTCCGGCCAGAGGTGTTTTTATGACACTTTCCTTGACAAACTGCCACCGCCTCACTGCTCCGCTGCCTGGCCAAGGTATTCTTCGTTCTCCATTTTGTGTGCATACATCACACGTGTACATAACATCAGTATTGGTGTTAATCGACATCAGCGTCGAAATTATTTCTAGTTTAAAATCCTCTTCTATTAAACAGCATCAGGAGAAAGTAGCACTTTCTTAATTCCACACATCCACCCCAACGGTGCTAGGTTTAAATAAAATAGGCTACAATAAATTTGTGGAAAACATTTTCTTAATTACAATCGTGCTGAAATCAATCATTTTAATTACACACTATTTATAGAACTGTACTGTTACTATTTTATAAAATTGATATTTTACTGTTCGTTTTAAATTTGGTACAACACGAAACGAAAATATAACTACTGTAAATACAAAAAGAAAGTCGCCTTATAACATAATTCTAGTTCGGCGAGATCAAACTCCTCTACATTAAATCACGGCTGAGGGCGAGGGTATACTAATAGAGGGAAAGGCGGTGCGGTAGACAGAAAAGGCAACTATTTGGCATAATTTATTCAAATTTCGTCGCTCACATTCCAAATTAGCCACACATTAACAGAGGGCGGACCCGAGGTGTCTATAGAGGCACCGCCAGCTACGACGATACCTCAGGGATAAGAGAATCCTACTTGTTAATCAACTAGTGATGTCAAAGATGCGTGTGCTATTTGGAAGGAATCTTTCATAAAACAATTCTTATAGTAGATTGTGTGTCATTTTTAGACTTCCTGTGATGAATTTGCACTTATCCTATGAATGAATGGTTTGGCTTACTTACACCACCATTAACAAACCATAAACGAATTCAATATATATAGTCAATTGATAAGTTATACAATTGTTACCTCCCATCAGTACACAGGATTAACCTAGCCCAGCAATCTGCATTGAAGATTATTGTTCTTAATTGGGTTAGCCGAGTAGTTTTTATTTATTTATTTCGTACTAGGACGCTAGTTAATAGCCCGGAATTGATTTTTAAATTACTACAGGCTAGACCTAAGGGTTGCGGCATTATCACTTGGATAAAATCAATCGGTGATCCGGTGGGATTTGAACCCGGGATCTCAAGGACCGAAATCCTGCGCTCTAACCGCTGGACCAGCTCGCTCCCCAGGTAGCCGAGTGGTTACAGTAATCTTCAAATTTGAAGGTTCAATTTCAAGCGAGATTCAAGTTCCAGACCTAGCGTTTACATGTTATTGGGCAATCAATCAAAACGAGACCAGGATTTGGATCCTACCTTACTAAGTAAGGGAAAACTTCAATCTCGTTGGAACACAAGTACGCGTGATACAATTCAAACCAATGTAAATTTAATCGTAATCATAAGTGGTTAACTGAAAAGTAACCACGCACCGCTATTTTTCACCACTGCGCACACGCGACGCGACAACATACAAGTACACGCACATAACACCCGACACCAACAGACAGACAATCACAAGCTAATAAACCAACCGCCGATTATCCGACTGTTAAGCCGAGGTTATATGCAATAAACGCTAACTACAAACTATAAGGGAGGGGATAAAACAATTTGGTGGCAGTAAAAACCCCCTCCAGCCGGTTTACTGTTTACGACGCGCCGCCAGTTTACAATTATTTTATATCAGTTTGAACGTCGCGTCATCCTCGCCTTGACAGCGGGAACCTCGTCCCTCCTCCGTCGCTCCGTCTATTTTAATTATTTCCTTAAACAAGTTTAATGACTTGAACTCATTGCCAATATCCCCGAGAAAAGAAATTAACACATTTTGATGGACTCGACTGAACTGGGCCACGGAATAGAGAATGGACAGTATTTATTCTGTGGTTGAACTCAAGGATATGATGACACAAAACCCGCATTTACATTCTTGGAAATATTTAAAAAAAAAGTAAATAAAAAAGGTACAGAGGAGTATTTTGACAGGAAATATTATTTCCCAGAATATGATGGTTAAGTTTAGAATTTTAATTGTGAATCGATCCTGTTTGACAAAGGCCTCCAACTGTAGGTATTCATAAACGTACTTATCGATCTGAACATTTGAAAAATGCAAATCTCTTATGTATAAGAAAGAAATACTTCAATTCTCACTAGTGAATCCATAAATATTCCAACAGTTTTTAATTGTGTTAAAATCAATGATACGATAAAGAATTAGATAAATGCGTCATAAGATACCCAGTGCCCGAAACGCTGTTTAATTTTACATTTATTTTACACGCAAACAGTGCATAGCCTAAAAGATACGACATAAATTTCTTCAACATCACTTCAGAGGAAAGGAAGACGCATACTCTACAATACACTAGATCAATTTACTTATTGTAGTATGTTACTAGCTGTGTACCCGTTCTACGCACGGGGATCTTATAATATTCAGTTGAAACCTTCTTATATAACGAACAGCAGTTGGTTTGCATATTTTAAGATATGCTGGCCAAACTATTATACATAGCTTCATTTTATGTTGTTTTTTGTTGTTCCGGATCGGTATGACAATCAATAAAAGGTTAAATTACCTCTGTGTCTGCCGGTCGATCCTATAACGGTAGGCTTACTTTTATTTTTACTATCTGATCTCGTTTGCATGGCTCAATCACGTCCTGGTTGAAGTTCGTTCGCTACGCTCACTCACCTGTATGTTGGAGCTCGTTCGCTGCGCTCACTTTCCTTCAGGTTAGCTCGTTCGCTACGCTCACTTGCCTTCAGGTTAGCTCGTT